TTCGTGATCATCAGTGAATGGTACAGATGCGACCAGCGAGCCCTGTAACTGTTTTCCAAGCTTTACCAGTTCTCGTCGTTTCTCGCAATAATTCGCGTAAAGGAATCCTCATTACCTCTCAACCAATCCTTCCCCCCAGACTAACTTCCCAAGCCCACCACCCCGTTTCTTCCACTCACTCACTCCCCTTACGGAAGCAATTTCTCCCTCTCACATGCTTTCTAGGGTTTCGCAAAGCCCTTCTTTTTACACCTAGGCTCTGCATCATTGCCTTGGTTCCGTCCGGCGTAGGGAGAGTAGGAGGCACTGCACAGGCGTCCGTGTTCCCGCTTAGCCTCTCGCTTTGCGTCGCTCCTTGGATTTAAACGATACTATGGCCCACGCTATGGCTTCCGTGTCGGGAGCAGCTCTCTCCTTTGAGAAGCTCTCACTTACCACCTCCTCCTCCCTCTCCATGTCCCGCTCCTCCTTCGTCTCCTCTCCCGCTCTCGTAGCCTGCCGGCCAGTCGCTCTCTCCGCGAAATGCGGCCCGTCGTTCCCGGTGGTGTCGGCGCAGGCCGTAGCGGATGTCGCGGCGCCTGCTGCGGAGTCGTCGCGGCCGACCGGGCTTTTGTCCGGATCGGACCCCGCGTGGAAGCTGGGGACAGCAGATAAGGCGCGTCTTAAGACGTACTATGAGACCGCCGTGGTTCCCGCTATGCTCGCAGAGTTCGGTTATGCGAACCCCCAGGAGGTGCCACGTGTCGAGAAGGTGGTGGTCAACTGCGGCATTGGCGACGCGTCGCAGAGCGCTAAGGTGCGTCGCAGAGCATGAATGTGCGTCGCGAGTCGAACGTGCGTTGTACTAAGGCGCGGCGCTCTTAATTAGTCATACACCGTCTAGAGACCCGAAGACTGTAGTTCCTGGGGATAGAGGGATAGCGCTATTGCGAATTCAATTTTGAGGCTCCCAGACCAGAAATGACTGGCATTGCGTGTAAAAGTGGTTGCGCATTTGGTTTTAATGGGTTGTTTAGGCCGAGTTATGCTCAGGTTCGTGAAGCTAGCGCGGACGAGGCGGGGTGTGGTGTCTGTTGCAGCTTTTGGTTGGAATCGCATGGGGTCGTTAAGACACAGTGCAGCGTCGCATCGCGCCATCGCAGTAGTCGTACAGGCGTCGCACAACAGAGGTTGCCGAGACCACGATTTCCAATGTATGCGTCGCATCAAAGTCACAAGCTCAGCCACTTCGTAGCTCAGGAGGCGTCTTTCGTGGATACGGCAGAGTAGGGCGGGAACGCAGGTAGAGCAAGGGAGAAGGCGAAGCAGAGGGATCACCTAGACTCGATTGCAAAGGTAATCTTGTAGGACCTAACGGAACGAGAACGAATAACGGTCAGGCCAACTGGTGTGTTGCTGATTAGTCGTCGTCGTCGTCAGAAGCCGCTGCAGCTGCTATCGTTGTCGGCGATGGGAGATGGAGAGTAGAATGTCGTTCGAATCATCTTCGTCATCTTCGTCATGTTCGTCAGGGCTATGGGACATCCGACTCGCGACTCGCCTGAGACACGATAGGGCTACAGCTGAACCTTCCGTTCCTCATGGGAAACGACCCCGCCGGTCGCGCAGCCTCGAACGAGCCAGCGACTCGAATCGAGAATCACTTTTGAGAATTCTCGAAAGTGATTCCAGTACAGCTGAAGCTGTCTGTTGCCCATGGGCATCTAGGAAACTGCCCCGCCCGTCGATTTTTGAGGCGCCTCAAAAGCCGTCGTTCATGGGAAACTACCCCGCCGGTCGCGCAGCCTTGAACGAGGCAGCGACTCAAAACTAGATGACTCTTGAGTCGACGCAACGGACGCTTGAGATGAATTTGCCCGCCCCCACCCGCTCGTGCCAGCGGCAGCCTTCCTCGCTGCCAGCCAGAACTCAGCTAGCGTCGCAAGCACAGCGCCGGGAAGCGTGGGTCGAGTTCCCCCCCATCCCCCCCCCCATCCCCCCCCCCCCCCCCCTCCCCCCCCCTCCCCCTCCCCCCCCTCCCCCTCTCCCCCTCCCCCCTCCCACTCCGCTCCTCCCCCTTCCCCCGCTCCCACCCTCTTCCTCTTTCCCCGCGCAGACCCTTGACAGCGCGGCCAAGGACCTGGCGGCGGTGACGGGGCAGCGGCCCGTCGTGACGCGCGCGCGGAAGGCTATTGCGGGGTTCAAGCTGCGCGCGGGCGTGCCCGTGGGGATGGCGACCACGCTCCGCGGACAGGTAGGGCGCGGGGGAAAGGGGTAACGGCGGGGGACTGGGATTAATTGCGGGGGACGCGCGCGCGCGGAAGGCCGTTGTGGGCGTGCGAGCATGCTCATGGGGATGGCGGATATGCTTGTGATAGAATGGAGGTGGAGAGACGGATGGGAGGGCGAAGGGGCCGATTCATTAAGTGGTGAGGAAGAGTGAAGGCGGGGGAGGGAAGAGGAAGTGGTGGAAGGGAGGGAGAAAGGAAACGGAAGGGAGAGGATGGCAGGAGGGAGGAAACAGGTTGAGTGTGATATTGGTGAAAGATGGAGTGACTAAAGTGGCGATGGGAGGGAAGCAACTACAGGGGAAACTGCGTGATGAAAATCCAGGTGGCCCCTCTTCTCCCTCCCCTTCCCGCGTCCCCCATCCCACCCCCTCCTCCCCCCCCCCGCCCCCACCTCCCCCTATCCCATACGGTACGGCATTACTGAGTCATGCAAACAAGAAAAAAACGTCGTAACAGTTTCTATCGATAGTAAACATCTAGATGATCTGGGATTAAACCTCATCAACCTTGACAGTCACCCCTTTTTGCCCCACACCCCCATCTCCTTCAAATTCTCTCAAATCATGTACACCTATCTGGACCGCCTTATCAACCTTGCCCCCAAACCCCATGCGCAACTGCCACGTCTCCTCAAAACCAGTTTTGCACTCGCACTCTTTTCAGAAACTGCAGTCTGCTCTTCTTGCATTCTCCCCCTTCCATTGGCCCCACCCCCACCTTTCTCCCTCTCTCCCTCAGACTATGTACGCATATCACTTCAACCTCACTCTCCCCCGCATGCGTGACTTTCATATCACCTCTGTAACCACCTCTGCATCTCACTGCTCTCCTTGCATTTTCCATCTCCCTCCCTCTCCCTCTCCCCCTCCCCTCCCCCCTCCATACCCCTCCCTCTCAGATCATGTACGCCTATCTCGATCGTCTCATCAACCTCGCTCTTCCCCGTATGCGCGATTTCCGCGGCGTCTCCCGCGGCGGTTTCGACGGCCGGGGCAACTATTCCATGGGCCTGGCCGAGCAGACCCTGTACCCGGAAATTCGATTCGACGAGATTGACAAGACCCGTGGGATGGACATTTCCATTGTCACCACCGCTAAGACTGACGGGGAGGCGCAGAGGCTGTTGGAGTTGCTTGGAGTCCCGTTTAGGGAGGGGCCGGTTCCGGTTAAGGAGGCGAAGAGCAAGGGGAAGGGGCGGGGGCGTGGGCGTGGCGGTAAGCAGCAGCAGAAGAGCAAGAAGAGGTAGAGGGTTGTGGTTCGGTTCGGACTGTGATCAGTTGTGATGTGACCCAGGAAGGTTTTGTTTGATTTCAATTTGATTTAGCTTAGGAAGTCTTTCTGTTCTTAATGGGAGCTGTAGCAGCATGTCAGCTGTACACGTACATTTAATCTCAATGGTTTCTATGAAGTATACATAAGGTTCCTAAACTGTGTTTTTTATTTTAATTGAGCACTGAGCCGTTATAAATGGTATTAGAATTCAGGGCGCCAATTATGGAACTGTAGCGAATAGTCACTAAAGATTCCCCAGATTTTTCCACGAAGTGCGTTCTTTGTCGCGAAACAGTCGCCCAAGCGGCGGATGGTTTCGAACGCTAGGCATGGCTCGGAGACATCACTATTTTCTCAGACCCCTAACATAGTACAATTGATGCCTGTTTGAGCCCCTCCCGGTTGCCTTGTGAAGGGGGCGTATAAGCTGTATCAAGAGCTTCGCATAAGTTTCGTCAGTTCGCAGCTATCTAAAAAGGATTCGCAGGTGCTTATATTAAGGATCTGTAACCTTATTCGTTGACAATTTGACTTCGGTCTCTTCAGTTTGACTTCAGTCTGTTCGTTATTATTCGTCCATAACCACGCGACGCGCTTGTATCGTGGGTGCATCAGGCTAGGAAAAAGACCTCGGGAGCAGCGTTTCCATCTGGTACAGGGCAAACTTGCGTGCACTGGCTGGGCATCATGTGTACACCAGATCGTAACTTACAGAACCGCAAACAAAGCTGTAAAACCGGCTGAAGAACCACTCTTGAACAGAATGTGCCGCGCCCTGGCAAAGAGTCGCTTTGCTTGTAGCAGCCTGGTGTTACAGCAGGCATGCATGCATGGAGTAACAATTGTCGCCTCGCCACGCCTGCAATTAAGGGAAGGGGGAGGAGGGGCGAACCATCAGATCAAGCAAGAAACCGCCATACTCCACCTGTCTAGTCCACCCGCCCGCCATCACCCCGCTCGCCATCATCCCGCCCGCCATCACCCCGCCCGCCATCACCGCGCCCGCCGTCCCGTTCTTTTTCAAGAGATATTAGTAGGTGTGCTAAGCTGAGCGTGGTTTCTACGCCATTGTTCCGAAGTGAGATTCGGAATCCTCGTGTTACGGCCTTTCTTCGATGTCTGGTGACTAAGGTTGGTTTCCTACTGCTGTGAACCTGTGAAGAAACGGTGCAAGGAAACGGCCGTTCAGACACGTGGCACATTCCTGCTCGTGTAGTCACAGTCGCCACGCGGAGTTTGGCGAGCACGCTATGTCGCTCATGACCTCCGCCTTGTTACATCAGTAACTCCTGAGTCGACTCAGTAGTCACCTCGGTTGCCGCACACGGTTCTTGCTTGCGTGTGCACCCCGCCTTGCCACATCCCCGCTTTGTTTCATCCCTGTGACCAGTCGCCGAGTTCGCATTCGCATTCGCAAGCCGACGAAATAGTGTAACGTCGTCGCGACAGTTGCTGATCATGCCGGAATCCGGTCCTTGCAGTCGAGGTGATGACTCAGCCGGTAACCGCTCCGCGCGGCTGGATTTGAACCTCGAGTATTCCTCGCAGCCCTGTATTGCGGAGCTTAGCGCGGAGCAACGGGCGGAAGGCTGCGCGGGAGCGCGGAGTTCCGCAGAAAGGCGGGAATCCCTTGCGGGGAGGGGGGATTTTTCCGCGGCGAGGGGATTTTTGGTTACAGCCGCGGCGGTGGGGGAACCGTCGGCTGAAGATGACACCGCAGGGTCGGGGGAAACACCGGTGGGCGGAGCGGGTGGCGGAGCGGAGGCGGAAGAGTCGGAGGGCGGAGGCGCGGAAGAGCCGGCGGCGCTAGACGACCTCGTCGGAAGGGCGTCGCGCTTTGCGCAGAGACTGGCGCAGCGGAGACTCCAGGCGGCAGGGGAACGCGCAGGGGGAGACGCGCAGGCTGGCGGAAGGGGAAGCGGTGGCGGAAACAGCAGCGGCGGCGCAGGCGCTGGCGGAAGAGAAGGCGCGGACCACACCCGCGCGGGGGGGACGGCGGAGGGAAGCGGGGAAGGCGGAGTAGGGGGAAGCGGGGGGGACAGCGGGGGGGGCTTTCAGGCTATTTTAGCGGCAATAGGGGCGGGTGGGGATGATGAGACCGCAGGGGGGGATGGCGACACGGAAAACGAGTGTGATAATAGTGAGGACGAGGATAAAGAGGAGAGTGGTGATACTAGCGAGGATTCTAGCAGTGACGACAGTGATGATTCGGATGGGGAGGAGGGAGAAGGGGAGGACAAAGGGGAGAGCAGCAGTAGCGGAGAGAGCAGTGACGAGAACGACAATAGCGAGGATGACAGTAGCGAGGATGATGGTAACGCGTACGGCAACCAGGCGGGCAGGGGGAGCGAGTTTTGGTTCACGTTCGGCGCGCGGACAGGGATGAGCGACGAAGGGGAGGCGGAGGCGGAGGCGAGGGAAGGGGGCGCGCGGGGGAGGGGGAGCAGGGGCAAGCGGAAGGGGTGGGTGAGTCGGAAGGAGGCTGCGCGCGCGTTCAGGGCGCATCCCGTGGCGCATGCGACGCGCGTATGGTCTTCCGCGCATGGCAAGACCTCCGCGCTCTGCAGGAAACGGCGGAATGGGGGGAGTGGGGGATGCGGGGGATGCGGGGGATGCGGGGGGAGCGGGGGGAGCGGACCGGAGGAAGCGCGGAAACAGGCAGAGATGGGTGCACTGTGGAATTTTGGAGGGACGGGGGAGGGGGAGGGGGAGAGGGGGGAAGGGGAGGCGAAGGGGGAGAAGCGGAAGGGGAAGGGGGAGAAGAGGGGTGCAGAGCGGTGTGACACAGTGAACGTGCACCAGATGCTGCTGTCGCGAGAAGTGAACGTGTCGGTGCGTTTGATCTGATCTTATTTGATTCGATTGAACTCTGGATTCAACTTTCTTCCTGTCGGTGCGTTCCATCTGAATCAACGCTGATTTCAGAAACGTAAGAAAGCCCTCATTCAACTCTGTATTCACGTTTCTCCCTCTTGGTGCCTTCCACATGCCCCCCCCCTTTCGCTCGCCCCAGCATGCATGCATGTGTTGTGAATGAGTCCTTTGTGAGGTCCCCCGTGTTGACTCGTGTAGCCCTAACACACCCCATCCCTTCCTTCCCTACTGACCAATCACAGAAATTCGGTCGGTTTTCAGAGTCAGTCAGGTGCCACCTGGCGCAGTCCTCTCCCCGTGCGATGGCCCCATAGCGAAGGCCATCCTCAGAGAGAGACCCTTCTTTCCCCAACTCACCTCACCCCATCCCATCCCGTCCCGGTCCATACACCAATCGTAGAAATTCGGGCGCTTCTCTGAGTCGGACCGGTGTCACCTGGCGCAGTCCTTCCTGCCATGTGACGGCCCCATGGTGGTGGACAAGGTGGCGTCGCGTGCTTATATTGGCCAGTTCAGCGGGGATGGAGACCTGTTCGTGGCTGGTTTCCAGGTGGGTGATGGGGAGTTCATGTGTGTGATGTGAGCTGCCTATGGGTGTGCTTATGTGATGGCCATCCACAGCACACGTGATGGCCATCCACAGCATGGCCTTCTGGGTCCCATGGTGGTGGACAAGGTGGCATCACGCGCGTATATAGGCCAGTTCAGCGGCGACAGGGATCTGTTCGTGGCTGGCTTTCAGGTGAGTGGGGGAGAAGCGTTTGCTGAATGTTATGTTACAATGTGCCACGTGGTAATAGACGGCACGTGGTGCGAGTCGAGACGGCCCCATGGGGGTGGACAATGTGGCATCGCCATCACGAGTTGAACCGAGTTCTTGTTGGTGGTGGACAATGTCGATACCTCATTCTTCCTTCCACTCCTGAGACGTCACAAAGGTCATCATTTTCTGAACCGATTTCTTATTTGAGTACCTCCTTTCTCCTTACCACTACTACCGCCCCTCAGTTATCCATTGCCCCCGTTGCTTCCCCTTCTCTCGCGCCCGAACCCAATTATCATGCGCACGATCAGGACCGTCGGATTCGCGTGTACGATGTGGATCGAGGGTGGGCGTTAAGGAAGGATGTGATTGCTCGCAACCTGCGATGGACCATCACCGACACTGCACTCTCTCCTGACCAACGATTCCTGGTAAGCCTTTGCCTTACTGGCACCATTTGCCGCGCTGCTGATAGGATACCATTGGCTAACAAGGATGTGATTGCGTTCAACCTGCGATGGGCCGTCACCGACACTGCAATCTCTCCTGACCAACAATTCCTGGTGCGTATCTTGTGTTAACTTGGTTACCGCATGTTGAACATGACGGTTGGACCATCACCGACACAGCTCTATCTCCCAAACGGCTATTCCTCGTAACCCTTGGCTACAGAAATCGCTGAATAGCTTGGGTTGGTAACCCTTACCTCTCCATCCCTGCATGCATGGCTTGAGTGCTTAAACCACGCCTACCCTGGTTCTCACCTCTCTTCTCTCCACTTCCCTTCTCTCCACTTCCCTTCTCTCCACTTCCCTTCTCTCCACTTCCCTTCTCTCCACTTCCCCTCTCTCCTCCTCTTTTCGCTCCGTCCCTCTTCTCTCCTCTTCACTCCGCTTCTTCTCTCTCTTCTTCCTCTCTCTCGTTCCTCTCTGCGTGTCCCCTTTACAGGTGTATGCATCCATCACGCCCATCGTGCATCTGGTGAACGTCGGCTATGGGAGCGGGGAGGTTGAGTCGCTTGCTAATGTCACGGTGAGTCAGCCACGGTCGGAGAAAATGTGTCCATAAGAAACCTCCATTCTTGATAATAATAAAGCCATGTTTTGTGTTTGTTTGTTTCATCCGTTTTTTACATGTTCCTTCCACATGCTTTCTTTCGCTTGTTGTATTTGTTGATATCTTTTGAGTCGACTCAAAAGTCAGCTCGATATCTTTCCGTCATGAGATTCAACTTCTTGCCATGCACTGCACGAGGAGTCGAATGTGGAGTTGAGTTGAGATGCAGAGAGCGCTTTCCACCCCTTTCCATGGTTTTGACATCTGGTTGCCCCAATTCTCATCTCCACCCCTTTCCTCACTCCGCCATCACGGCATACATGAGGAGCGCAACACCGGGAGCGCAGCTTTTGAGTCGACTGCACACTCATCCCCAACCCCTTCCCCTCCCGTTCTCACCCCTCCCCTCATCTCCTCCCCCTTCGCCATCAGGACATTCACGAGGAGCTGAACTTCACAGCAGTGGAATCGAGACGCAGGGAGCGCAGCTTTGGCATCTGGTCGCTCCAATTCTCATCCGACGGTCGGGAGCTCATCGCGGGCAGCAGCGATCGCTCGCTCTATGTCTTTGATCTGGAGAGAAACCAGCCCATTCTTCGAGTGAAGGCCCATCAGGTAGGCTTAAGCTTTTAGGTAAATCCATGTCATAGCGTTACGGGCAGCAGCAGCAGCAATCGCTCGCTCTACGTCTTTGAACCGGAGAGGAACCAACCCATCCTTCGAGTCAAAGCGCACCTGGTAGGCTAGGGGCGCACCTGGTAGGCTAGGGGCGCACCTGGTAGGCTAGGGGCGCACCTGGTAGGCTAGGGGCACACCTGGTAGGCTAGGGGCGCACCTGGTAGGCTAGGGGCGCACCTGGTAGGCTAGGGGCGCACCTGGTAGGCTAGGGGCGCACCTGGTAGGCTAGGGGCGCACCTGGTAGGCTAGGGGCGCACCTGGTAGGCTAGGGGCGCACCTGGTAGGCTAGGGGCGCACCTGGTAGGCTAGGGGCGCACCTGGTAGGCTAGGGGCGCACCTGGTAGGCTAGGGGCGCACCTGGTAGGCTAGGGGCGCACCTGGTAGGCTAGGGGCGCACCTGGTAGGCTAGGGGCGCACCTGGTAGGCTAGGGGCGCACCTGGTAGGCTAGGGGCGCACCTGGTAGGCTAGGGGCGCACCTGGTAGGCTAGGGGCGCACCTGGTAGGCTAGGGGCGCACCTGGTAGGCTAGGGGCGCACCTGGTAGGCTAGGGGCGCACCTGGTAGGCTAGGGGCGCACCTGGTAGGCTAGGGGCGCACCTGGTAGGCTAGGGGCGCACCTGGTAGGCTAGGGGCGCACCTGGTGGGGTCATGCTTGCTGATCAGCTCGTCATGGGCAGCAGCGATTGCTCGCTCTACGTCTTCGATTGGGAGAGGAATCAGCCGATTCTCCGCGTGAAGGCACACCAGGTAGGCTAGGGAGACACCTTTTAGGCTCGGGAGACACCTTTTAGGCTCCTGGTTTCAGGTAAATCCAAGTGCCTGCCTCACTGCTTGCGGGTACCAGCAGCGGTCGGTCGCTCTACGTCTTTGACCTGTGCACTGGTCCATCCTCCATCCTCCCTTCTCCCTCCTCCTCCCCACTCCGCTTCTCCAGGACGATGTGAATGCTGTGGCTTTTGCAGACGAGACCTCCCAACTCATCTACTTGGGCAGTGACGATCGCATCTGCAAGGTGTGGGACCGCCGGTTGTTATACAACACCGAGCCCATTGGCCCCCTGCGACTGCTCGACCCTGTTGGGAGCCCGATGGACCGCACCGCACTGGACCGCATTGACTGCCTTTGACCTCAGTGGAACCCCTTCAATCCCCCGTCCCTTCTCACTTCAGGACGATGTGAATGCAGTGGCATTCGCGGACGAGACATCGCAACTCATCTACTCGGGCAGTGACGATCGCATCTGCAAGGTGTGGGACCGCCGCCTGCTTGACAACACCGAGCCCATCGGCCCGTTGCGACTGCTCGACCCTGTTGGACCTCCTCCGTTCAGTCACTCTGCTGGCGGTGCTGCTAGCGCTGCTGGTTCTGCTGCTGCTGCTGCTGCTGGTGCTGGCACTGGTGCTGGTGCTGCTGGTGGTGCTAGTGGTGGTGGTGGCAGTGGTGGTGGGGGGGAGAGGCAGGGAGTGGGGTGTCGGAACAAGCCGGTGGGGGTGCTGGTGGGGCACACAGAGGGTATAACGCATCTGGCTTCTAAAGGGGACGCTAGATGCTTTCTTACCAACGGCAAGGATCAGACGATGAAGCTGTGGGACATCCGAGTCATGATGGACCATGCTGATTACGAAGAGTGAGTTTATAATGTCTATATGTTTCTAGCGAGTCTATATGTTAATACCTACATGTGAGCATGCGTGTGAGAGAGCGATAAATCAGAGGCACCAACAGCAAGGACCAGACGATGAAGTTGTTGTGGGACATCCTCTAACTGTTTCTCATCGCCCTCTCTCTCTTTCTTTGTCTCCCTCTTTTGAACGGTCCTTTTCCTATCTCTGTCACTCTCTCTCTCTCCTTGTCTACGTCTCAAAAGTCTCTTCCTACCTCCCTCCCCCTCCCGTGAAAGAAGGAGTGGTTTGAGACGTCTCAAAACATCTCTGTCACTCACACTCTCTCTCCTTGCCTATGTCCCTGTCTCTGCCTACCTTTGAGACGTCTCAAAACATAAATGTCACTCTCTCTCTCCCTGTCTCTGCCTACCGTTGAGACGTCTCAAAAGTCTCTGCCTACCGTTGAGACGTCTCAAAAGTCTCTGCCTACCGTTGAGACGTCTCAAAAGTCTCTGCCTACCGTTGAGACGTCTCAAAAGTCTCTGCCTACCGTTGAGACGTCTCAAAAGTCTCTGCCTACCGTTGAGGCGTCTCAAAAGTCTCTGCCTACCGTTGAGACGTCTCAAAAGTCTCTGCCTACCGTTGAGGCGTCTCAAAAGTCTCTGCCTACCGTTGAGACGTCTCAAAAGTCTCTGCCTACCGTTGAGACGTCTCAAAAGTCTCTGCCTACCGTTGAGACGTCTCAAAAGTCTCTGCCTACCGTTGAGACGTCTCAAAAGTCTCTGCCTACCGTTGAGACGTCTCAAAAGTCTCTGCCTACCGTTGAGACGTCTCAAAAGTCTCTGCCTACCGTTGAGACGTCTCAAAAGTCTCTGCCTACCGTTGAGACGTCTCAAAAGTCTCTTCCTACCGTTGAGACGTCTCAAAAGTCTCTGCCTACCGTTGAGACGTCTCAAAAGTCTCTGCCTACCGTTGAGACGTCTCAAAAGTCTCTGCCTACCGTTGAGACGTCTCAAAAGTCTCTGCCTACCGTTGAGACGTCTCAAAAGTCTCTGCCTACCGTTGAGACGTCTCAAAAGTCTCTGCCTACCGTTGAGACGTCTCAAAAGTCTCTGCCTACCGTTGAGGCGTCTCAAAAGTCTCTGCCTACCGTTGAGACGTCTCAAAAGTCTCTGCCTACCGTTGAGACGTCTCAAAAGTCTCTGCCTACCGTTGAGACGTCTCAAAAGTCTCTGCCTACCGTTGAGACGTCTCAAAAGTCTCTGCCTACCGTTGAGACGTCTCAAAAGTCTCTGCCTACCGTTGAGACGTCTCAAAAGTCTCTGCCTACCGTTGAGACGTCTCAAAAGTCTCTGCCTACCGTTGAGACGTCTCAAAAGTCTCTTCCTACCGTTGAGACGTCTCAAAAGTCTCTGCCTACCGTTGAGACGTCTCAAAAGTCTCTGCCTACCGTTGAGACGTCTCAAAAGTCTCTGCCTACCGTTGAGACGTCTCAAAAGTCTCTGCCTACCGTTGAGACGTCTCAAAAGTCTCTGCCTACCGTTGAGACGTCTCAAAAGTCTCTGCCTACCGTTGAGACGTCTCAAAAGTCTCTGCCTACCGTTGAGACGTCTCAAAAGTCTCTGCCTACCGTTGAGGCGTCTCAAAAGTCTCTGCCTACCGTTGAGACGTCTCAAAAGTCTCTGCCTACCGTTGAGACGTCTCAAAAGTCTCTTCCTACCGTTGAGACGTCTCAAAAGTCTCTGCCTACCGTTGAGACGTCTCAAAAGTCTCTTCCTACCGTTGAGACGTCTCAAAAGTCTCTGCCTACCGTTGAGACGTCTCAAAAGTCTCTGCCTACCGTTGAGACGTCTCAAAAGTCTCTGCCTACCGTTGAGACGTCTCAAAAGTCTCTTCCTACCGTTGAGACGTCTCAAAAGTCTCTGCCTACCGTTGAGACGTCTCAAAAGTCTCTTCCTACCGTTGAGACGTCTCAAAAGTCTCTGCCTACCGTTGAGACGTCTCAAAAGTCTCTGCCTACCGTTGAGGCGTCTCAAAAGTCTCTTCCTACCGTTGAGACGTCTCAAAAGTCTCTGCCTACCGTTGAGACGTCTCAAAAGTCTCTGCCTACCGTTGAGACGTCTCAAAAGTCTCTGCCTACCGTTGAGACGTCTCAAAAGTCTCTGCCTACCGTTGAGACGTCTCAAAAGTCTCTGCCTACCGTTGAGACGTCTCAAAAGTCTCTGCCTACCGTTGAGACGTCTCAAAAGTCTCTGCCTACCGTTGAGACGTCTCAAAAGTCTCTGCCTACCGTTGAGGCGTCTCAAAAGTCTCTGCCTACCGTTGAGACGTCTCAAAAGTCTCTGCCTACCGTTGAGACGTCTCAAAAGTCTCTTCCTACCGTTGAGACGTCTCAAAAGTCTCTGCCTACCGTTGAGACGTCTCAAAAGTCTCTGCCTACCGTTGAGACGTCTCAAAAGTCTCTGCCTACCGTTGAGACGTCTCAAAAGTCTCTGCCTACCGTTGAGACGTCTCAAAAGTCTCTGCCTACCGTTGAGACGTCTCAAAAGTCTCTGCCTACCGTTGAGACGTCTCAAAAGTCTCTGCCTACCGTTGAGACGTCTCAAAAGTCTCTGCCTACCGTTGAGACGTCTCAAAAGTCTCTGCCTACCGTTGAGACGTCTCAAAAGTCTCTGCCTACCGTTGAGACGTCTCAAAAGTCTCTGCCTACCGTTGAGACGTCTCAAAAGTCTCTGCCTACCGTTGAGACGTCTCAAAAGTCTCTGCCTACCGTTGAGACGTCTCAAAAGTCTCTGCCTACCGTTGAGACGTCTCAAAAGTCTCTGCCTACCGTTGAGACGTCTCAAAAGTCTCTGCCTACCGTTGAGACGTCTCAAAAGTCTCTGCCTACCGTTGAGACGTCTCAAAAGTCTCTGCCTACCGTTGAGACGTCTCAAAAGTCTCTTCCTACCTCCCTCCCCCTCCCCCTGCCAGTCTCCCCCCGCCGCGAATCCCCTTCTTCCAGTGGGACTATCGCTGGATGGACTACCCCGGGGAGGGGAATGAGGGTCGCACACCCCAGCGACCAGTCACTCATGACGTACCGCAACCACCACGTGCTGCACACGCTCATCCGCTGCTCCCCTCCTCCTGTTTGTTTGTGTCTCTGCCTCTGCCTCTGCCTCTGTCTCTGTTCCTGTTTTCCGCCTCTCCCCCCTCCTCTCTCTCTGCAGTCTCCCCCCTCCGCGAATCCCCTTCTTCCAGTGGGACTATCGTTGGATGGACTACCCGGGGAGGGGCATGAGAGTCGCCCATCCCAGCGACCAGTCACTCATGACCTACCGCAACCACCACGTGCTGCAGACGCTCATCCGCTGCTATTTCTCGCCTCTGCACTCCACGGCCCAGCGCTTTGTGTACTCTGGGTCGCATGACGGCGCTGTGTATATCTTTGACCTGGTATGTATGCGCGTGGGAGAGGATAGATAGAGTGGACGGGACCGGGTACAGAAATTGGGCAACACACGACATGCCGCGTGTTACATGGGTGGGTGTGTGACCTGCCATAGGGCTCTGCAGCACTGCTCGCTACCACAACCACCACGTGCTGCAGACGCTCATCCGCTGCTCCTTCTCCCCTCTGCACTCCACGGCTCAACGCTTTGTCTACTCTGGGTCACATGACGGTGCTGTGTATATCTTTGACCTGGTATGTGTGTGGTACAGTGTGGGAGAAGAGAGAGTGGGTAGAACATTCAATCTTGTGCTGACAGGCAAGCAGCTGGCGACGCTGAAGCGCCACGGGTCGACAGTGCGGGACTGCTCCTGGCACCCCACACGGCCATCTCTTGATGTGACTCTGATGTTCTTGCATCTCTGCCTCTTGAGGCGCCTCAAAAGTCTTGATGTGACTCTGATGTCCTTGCATCTCTGCCTCCCTCGCCCCTTCATGCCCCCAGCTGACAGGCAAGCAAGTGGCGAAGCTGAAACACCACGGGTCGACAGTCAGGGATTGCTCCTGGCACCCCACACGGCCAGCCCTGGCGTCGGTGGGGTGGGACGGCAAGGTGGCTCTCTGGGAGAGCTTTCATGGGGAGACTCCGCCAGAGTGCAAGAAGATGCGGCAGATCCCCGTGACTAATCATGAGGACTTATTTGACGAGTAGAGGGGAGATGGGGTCACTGGCGTTGGTGGGGTGGGACGGCAAAGTGGCTGTGTGGGAGAGCTTTCACGGGGAGACGCCCCCTGAATGCAAGAGGATGCGGCAGATTCCCGTCGCGAACCATGAGGATGTATTTGATGAGTAGAGGGGGGTTGGGAGGCATGGGAGGGGGGGAATGAGGAAGGAGGTCGTGAAGGGATAGTACAGGGATACACCCCTCCCTTTGATGTGTAATATAGCAAGGCACACTCCCCCCATTGCTCATGGGGATAGCTGTGGCAATAGAGGAGCTTGGGGAGGTGAGGAATGGGAGAGGAGAAGAGGATGTGGTGGGGAAGGGGCATTTGGTGCTGGTCGGTGGGGTAGGGAATGTTCCTCCTATTGTGCAAGAAAGTCTCCCTTTAAGCTTTTCCCTCCCGTCCCTAGCCCCCTCCCTTTCCCAATTTCTCCCTCGTTTCCTGCCCCAATACTCTCAGCTGCCGGTCTCCCTCCCTTTCCCCCTTCCCCTTCCCCATTCCCCCTCCTTCTCCCTCCATCTTCCCAAGCCCCTCCGCCTGTCTCTCTCGACCCGATACCGTCTTCCTGCTCCTTCGATAAAGGATGCCAACGGTGATGGTGAGGTGATGGTGAGGTGATGGACCATCACCTCAAAATTTCAGGGTAAAATACCCTGATTGCCCTGACTGGCGGCCGCTTTTTTTGGGGTTACTCTGACCCAGTCAGGCTCCCGGATTTCTTACCCTGACTCATAAAGAGTTAGAATTTTTGTACCCTTATGAAATCCGAGTTATAGATTGTTTCCCCTGACTTTCATCAGTGTTTTAAACCTGTTGCTCTGATACCGAGTCTTTCGTAGCGAGGATACGGTGTGTTGGGAATATAAACGCATGACTTAGTGCGTTTCTGTAGTATCGAACCTCACCCGATACTGAAGCACAACAAAAGGGGTATGAAGTCGAAAAGGCGCATACCACATCAAACCGCAACTGGAGGTTGCGAGCTGTAACCGCCTGGAGGTTACGTAACAGCAAGCGACGCTTCAGTGAACAGTAACTACCTCGATAGTCGAAGCGTTACGCGTCTCGATAAACATAACCGCTTCTTGTAATCTATCTTTCCTATGTACGGTATTCCTGTATGCTCTTTGCCTTAATCAATTACTTGTTCTCACATACCAGCAGGGCTCAGGTTTGAAGTGTAATTTACCCTTCTCCACTGATGAGAAGGGTGAAATTTTCAGTCTACACTGATGGGCTGGGGTAAAATTTTGGGAGATTAGTGTTACACTGATATGTCAGTGTAATGATTTAGGCCACATTGATGCTCTGGGGTAAAATTTTCCTTAGCGAAGATTACCCTGAAGAGCGTACAGGGAACCCCCCTTCCCCCCCCTCCCCCCCTTTCGGAAACTCTACCTATCGAGATGGTTCTCCAAAATTTCAAAACGGTACACCTAATTTCGTAATGATGCACTACGACGGCAGCACGTGAGTAACGACCGACACCGCGTCACTCCGTGTCTGCTTGCAGCCTACACGAAGCAAAAACTGCAACCTGATTGGTCGAAGCTGCTCTCAGTGCAGGACTTCAATTCCCTCGACTCCACTCGATCGAGGTCCCCAAACACATGTTCCCCCCCCCCCCCGGGAAGCCTGCTGACTCAGTGAAACCAGACAAGCCACTGCGCTCGACTTTCACAACAACCCCCACCCACTAGTGCCATCTTGCGCAATTTGGGCCTCCAACTTGGTTGCTGCTAGCACCTACAGTACAATCAGGGTAAAAAATATACCTACACTGATGCCTCTGGGTAAAGTTTTCAAAACTTCAAATTACACTGATCCATCAGTGTTACCAAAAAAGACACACTGCTCAAAAGGGTTTTGAAAATGTCTACACTGCTAATCATGAGTAGGTAAAAACCAAACCTGAGCCCTGCATACCAGCACAAGTACATTCACTCAAAAGACTTCCGCTGTGCTACTCTAGCACCTACTAGCCTATTCTCTGCAAAGATCCCAAGGCTGAAATCCTCAGCCCAACATGGTATGAGAGCAGTTAGAGAACAAAGGCTCTCGTCACTAAGCCTCTTCCAGGCTACCGATCTGCAAGCAACCAAGAAGTTCAATCTTCATTCAAGAAAGGCAAGACATGGCAAGTGGCAAAGAAAGAAGATCATCTACGGGATCTACTCTACCCCCTGTCTCCGAGTTGCAAACCGAAGGAGGAACAACGCCCGGATTAACGCCGGAAGCGACGGAACGTTCTACTCAAGCGCTAGTAGCGCCGCCAACAGTCTTCAACCCAAACTTAATGGAGGGGTTCTTCAACTTCATGTCGCAGCAGCAGTCCTCGCAACCTGCAAACAGCAACAGCGTAAACAACGGAGCGGCACCAATGAGTATTGACAACTCATCGTTCGGACGACATAATCAACAAACACCAAATTCGGTCTCACCTGGTTCCTTCACGTTCATGCCGCCTCGCCATCCAGCGACCCCTCTTCCCGCCATCAAACGAGACACCGAAGAAGTCCTGCAAGTACAAGCACAGTTCAACAACATCCTACGACTGCACACATCCACACCATTCAGCGGGAAGGACTTCTACTCTTGGAGCTTCGAGTTTGAACTCCTGATGGAAGGCGCGAATCTTCTTGGATTCTTCAACGGTACCTGGCCATATCCACACAACGGCGAAGACAAGGACAAAGAAAATTATACGTATCACTCCCTAATGGCTTACACCGTTCTTCTCCGAAACCTGTCGCCGAACGAACAACAAAGCATCCGCGCCTACCGGAACTACGCAAACTCCGCGGAACTCGCCTATCAACATCTGCGAAGCATTCATCAAGCATCCGACAGCGTTACACAAAGCCGACTCATGGCACAACTGACAACAGTTCAAATGCAACCTGGAGAAAAGGCCATGCCTTACATCAGTCGCTGTCAAGGACTACGCGACAGACTTATTCGCTGCGGAGGAAACTTATCTAAAGAAGCTTTCGTAACCGTCGTTCTTGCCGGCCTTGGACCTCAATGGCGCACCACCCGTTCACTTCTTCGCGCTCACGGTCGACTCTCCGAAATGCATCTCTGCGCCGAACTTCACGCCGAGCAGCAGGAAATGGACCTGTTCGAAGAACGCAACAACAAAAGGCATCATCAACCAGTCGTTTTTTACACCAATCGACGACAGCCACGTTACCAAAATCGAGGACACGCACCTCCTTATTGTCATCTGTGTCGGACTTCAGGACACACACGCTTCAACTGCCCTCAGCAACAACGACAACCAGCACCATTCTCTCGTCCTCTGCGACCCGCGCCTCCCCACATCGCGTCAACTCAACAACGACCCGCTACCGCCTCAACGACTACTTCAACGCGACCGTCAACTTCCACTTCGGGACCTGCACAGACACCAAGAATCGTCGCCATGGCACGAACAACAGAGTCAAACATCGACTCATGCATTACTGGCTCTCCACCGACTTACAGTCCTGATGAGCAACCGTCACCACCACCGTCGTCCCTTAACGTGAATCCAACGTACGCCGCCATCGCGAACAGTGCACCCACCGGACCAGACACATGGTTCCTCGACAGCTGTTGTGGTCACCACATGTGCTCTTCATCACGATTTCTTCAGCGCGAACGACGTCTTCCGCGAGACGTCATCATCACCATCGCCAACAACGAAAACCTGCGCACCAACAAACAAGGAGTCGTGGAGCTTCAGTCAAACGAAACAAACGTTATCCTTCAACTAAACAAAGTACTCGTCGTCGACAACCTCGGCTTCAACTTACTGAGCGTCAGCCAACTCATTTCGAAAGGCGTTCACCTGGAGTGTGACTCCGACGCCCTGGAAATCCGTCTTTACCACGGAAAAGGGGGGGTCTTCATCGGCCGCGCAATCCAACAAGATGACGTGTTCGTCCTCGATTTCGTCCCCGACAAAGGCACCGCAGACAGCGACGGCATAGTCGCTCTCGCACCTTGGACGCATCCGCCAGACCTCGACCCGAACTTCAGTCCTGAAGGCTTCTGGTACTCTCGTACCATTCCCGAAGCTGAACGTACCAATGCGCTTGCCGTCCTGCAAACACAAGCAACAACACCTGAGTCAGCACCCGAAACAACAACTGCACCCGTCACAACACCAACAACCACCGAACCTGCAGTTGAAGAACCAACCGTCGTCACGGAACAACCTTCCGAAACTCCACAGCCCGGTCCCTCCGTCGCACCACCACCTCTCATCATCGACACGCCACCGACAGCCGCCCAACAGTTAACGCCAGCACCACGCGCCGTTCATCGAAGTGCAGCAACACACGCCGCCTTTTTCGCTAACGCAGACTTCTATCAACGCTCCGTCAGTCACAGCGCCTCCGAAGACATCTGGCATCAACGTCTTGGACATCCTGGAAACAAAACACTTTACAATACAGTACGAGCCGGAGTGTTAGACAAGAACGCCCTACTTCTTCCCAACGGACGTGAACTCGAACGACCACGCGGCACCTGCTTCATCTGCCCGGAAGCAGATCTGCCTCACCAACCGTTCCCGTCACACCACAATCCGAGCGCCCCCGTTTATCAACCACTCGAGAAAGTCTACAGCGACATACTATACATACCTCGAACTGAAGGACGTGAAGATCTGAACTACGTCATCACCTTCATCGACACCGCAACGCGATATGTCTGGCACGTCAACTTACCGTCACGAGACATGGCTCTAGAAGCCTTCACAGCCTGGCTACCTGTCGCTGAAAGAGAGTCGGGAGCGAAACTGAAGAGTTTTCAAACAGATGGCGCAAAGGAGTACCAGTCAAACCACTTCACGCAGTTCTTGGCAGAAAGAGGCATCAAACGCCTCATCTCTCTTCCTTACGCTCACCAACAGCAGGGTGTGGCAGAAAGGATGAACAGGACCCTGCAGACAACCATGCGAAAGCTGTTACGTGGAACTCGACTGCCCAACTCAGAATGGCCAGCAGCGATGGACCACGCTGTCCTCCTGCACAACTTGATGTCCTCGTCTTCACTGCCCAACAACGCATCTCCGCACCTGTTGTGGACTGGGAAGCTGGGCAACACAAAAATGTTACGAGTTTTTGGGTGTATGGTACAGTACCGCCCACACACTGCACACGCAGGGAGATTCTCGCAACGTACACAGTGGGGTCTACACCTCGGGCTGGCAAAACATTACGAAGCCTGGCGAATCTTCGACGTCCACACAAAGGAAACAGTAGCAGCACGTGACGTTATCTTCTACGAGCGACTCACCCTCAACCATTACCTGGACAACATCGCACGCCACGTCGACCCCACCGGCGGATTTTATGGTTCCCGAGCCTTCGCTTCACCCTCCGACGCTGCTGACTGGGAAGAAGAAAACGTCGACGGCGCCTCCGAAGCTGCTAGACCCCTTCCCTACTGCTCCGTCCCAATCCCCATGGACGAGGAAAATCCTCGCGACAGCAACAATGCCGACGTCTACTACCATTTCGCCGACAATGGTTACGTAACACCCCAACCCGTCAACACCGACATCTCTGAACGATACGGCCCCGGATTCGCACCTGATCCTGAAGCGGGAGACGAAGCAGTCTATCCCGAGGACCCCTTGCTGAACCGTCACACCCCCAGCGGACTCCAAGTCCTGGGACTCGTCGCTGCAGTGCACGGGCCTTCGTCGCCACCTGAAGAGCCTCGCTCTGTCAAGCAGGCTCTGGGGGGGGAACACAAAGAAAAATGGCGCGAAGCCATGGAAAAGGAGTTAAAAGCGCTTTCAGACCGCAACACCTGGAAGATCGTCCCTGCATCACTCGCACAAGACAGACCCATTCTCTCCGAAAAATGGGTATTCCGGGTCAAAACCAACTCCGACGGAACCATCGAACGATTTAAAGCTCGATGGGTCGTCCGCGGATTCGACCAAGAGTATGGTCGCGACTTAATTGAAACTTTTGCACCAGTCAGTCGACATACTTCCCTTCGCATACTCCTCGCCATCGCCGCCTCACGTCGCCGCCCACTCCGACAAATTGACGTCGCCAACGCTTTTCTGTACGCCCCAGTCGACGCTGAAATCTTCGTCGAACAGCCCCACGGGTTCTTCCCTCGTCTGCCAACTACTTAAATCACTATACGGAATTAAGCAGGCACCGCGACTCTGGCAGCAGTACCTGCACGCACGACTTAAACGCATCGGATTCAACCAACTGCCCCATGTCCAGGGCATGTATCGCCTCACTCACGACAACGACTACGTCCTGCTAATCGTCTACGTCGACGATTTACTTTACATCGGGTCAACTACCACCATCGTCACCTGGTTCGAAAGGGAGCTTCAGACAGATCTCTCCCTCACAGTCTCACCCAACGTCACGCAGTACCTAGGGCTCAACATCCTCGACGAAGACAACGCCATTCGTCTCAGCGCCTCAAAATACGCAAGCACTATCGCCGAACGCTTCTGCATCACACCGACGCACGTCGCAACACCCTACAGTCACCTATCGCTCGATCCAACCGAAGAAACCAACCCACTGCCGTCTGCTGGAATCCAGGAATATCAACAGAAACTGGGCTGCCTACTCTTTGCCGCCGTTACGTGCCGACCGGACTTATCCTACAGCGCCAGTCAACTAGCGACCTACCTCAAGCGCCCATAACAACGTCACCTCAAGGAAATCAACCATGCCCTTCTCTACTTCATCTCGACGCCAACAGTCGGCTTAACGTATCACAAGAGCACGACGACCGACCTAAAACTACTCGGCTACGTCGACGCTGATCATGCTGCTGATCGTGTCGATCGTCGCTCTCGCACCGGCTACATCTACCGTCTCGAGCCCGTCGGAACTATCTCCTGGCAATCAAGTAAGCAGGAACTCGTCGCACTATCATCTGCTGAAGCAGAGTATATTGCTCTCTGCACCGCTACCAAGGAAGGTCTGTACCTGCGCGAACTGCTGGAAGAAGCGAAAATTGCGAAAGTACCCAGCTTCTCGCTTTTCTGCGAAAATCAGTCCGCGATACGGATCGCGAACAAGAATGGCTTCGCCAACAGAACCAAGCATATCGCACTGCGATACTTCTTCGTGAAAGACGAAATTGAGAAGGGAAAACTCCAGCTGGACTACTGCCCGACCACCGAGATGGCAGCAGATTATCTCACCAAGAAGCTACCAAAGGGGAAATTCGAGTACTGCATGCTGCTCATCGGATTGGACCACGTCACCGAAGTGGACCACGTCGACACTCCAGAAACGAAGGGGGGTGTTGGGAATATAAACGCATGACTTAGTGCGTTTCTGTAGTATCGAACCTCACCCGATACTGAAGCACAACAAAAGGGGTATGAAGTCGAAAAGGCGCGTACCACATCAAACCGCAACTGGAGGTTGCGAGCTGTAACCGCCTGGAGGTTACGTAACAGCAAGCGACGCTTCAGTGAACAGTAACCACCTCGATAGTCGAAGCGTTACGCGTCTCGATAAACATAACCGCTTCTTATAATCTATCTTTCCTATATATTTCTGTATGCTCTTTGCCTTAATCAATTACTTGTTCTCACATACCAGCACAAGTACATTCACTCAAAAGACTTCCGCTGTGCTACTCTAGCACCTACTAGCCTATTCTCTGCAAAGATCCTAAGGCTGAAATCCTCAGCCCAACACGGTGGATGTTGCGCAAAATGACACCAGCAAGTAGTGCACTACGCTTAGGGCGTGTGAAATTGCAACGACCATACGATATGGTCGATGATTTGGGCGTTTCTGGCGATTGCGAGGAATTAGGGTTACGCCGATTGAAGTAGTCACCCCGATATGACCGATTTTCACTGGTAATTTGTGAGCAGAAATTTACGCTCCGCTTTATGCTCAGCGGGGATATATTTTTCCGTTTACCTAAACCCACTGCTTTGGTAAACACTCTAGTCTAGGCTTCAGTCAGATCCCCCTATTCCACACCCCTTTTGAATGCAGTAAAGGGAATCATTTTTTTTCCTTTTTTATTAAGGGGGTGGTTTGGGGTAGGTGCCCCAAATGCTGACGAATTCTGTGGCGGGGTTCGTTTGAGTGTTACACATTTCGCACTCGCCAGAAACGCCCAAATGGTCGACCATAGAGTTTGGGCGTTACAATTTTACACGTACTTCCCAACACGAATGTTGAACCGACCTTTCCACTCGCAGCATCAACCCTAACGAAGTGAGACATTTGAACTTGCAGTAGCCTGTTCGTTCAAAATCTATTCTTATTCATGGAATCATTTTTTTACCCTGTTTTCATCAGGGTGAGAGATTTGTTACCCTAGGAGTCAGGGTTGGCCCACCCTGGAACTCTGATTCGACAGGGTGGGCCAAAACCAATTTTGTCCCTGGTGATGGTCCGATTGATGGTAGTGGTGTGCGGGAGCACTCTTGTGTTTCTTACGGTGTTTCCCATGCCTGTCCCTCTGTGTCATGCTGCGAAATGTGCATATGACTGCTATGTTTTCCATGTTCTCTCAACATTTGACTACAGATGAAGGTGTGTACAAATTAGCTTACTAACAATGTCGGTGCTTGATGGATGCGGTAATACTGAAGAGAGTTCATGACCTGGAAAGGTGTAGTGATTTGACACTGGCCTGCTTTTACTATGTACTAATCAAACAAACAATAAGAGCAAGCAGACACTGGATAATACACCAGCTACACCAAAGCATGCACAAACAAATCGACCTGCCTTACACCATATCAGGATACGAACGATTCAGCCACATGATGAAACAAACAAAGCTAGTGGGTCCCTCCGCTAGAGTGTGAGCCAAGGCTCTTGTTCCCTATCCTGGAAGCATGCAATGCATGTGCGCAGGCAAGGCAGGCTACTCTGCTGTGAATGCGGCGAAGGAGGGGAAGGTGAGAGATGGCAGTGAAGCTGGGCTGGTGAAGGGAGAGGTTGGTTGAAAGGAGTGTGCATGCATGTATGTTTGTGTTCGGGTGGGTGGCTTGGTGGGTGGGCTATTCTACTGTGAGTCTGGTGAAGGCGGGAAGGTCAGAGATGGCAGTGAAGCTGGGCTGGTGAAATGAGAGGTTGGTTGGAGGCGGCTCTGCTGCGGCGAAGGCGGGGAAGGAGAGAGATGGCAGTGAAGCTGGGCTGGTGAAGGGAGAGGTTGGTTGAAAGGAGTGTGCATGCATGCATGTTTGTGTCCGGGTGGGTGGCTTGGTGGGTGGGCTACTCTGCTGTGAGTCTGGCGAAGGCGGGAAGGTCGGAGATGGCAGTGAAGCTGGGCTGGCACATATGGCGTTCCAGCTCTGCTCGTGTGGCTTGCATGACCACCTGAGTGGAGAGGGGGGGAGACGGGTGGTGGGGAAGGGGACGGATTGTGGGGTAAGGGAGAAAGTGAGATTAGAAGCTGGGCTGGCACATATGGCGTTCCAGCTCTGCTCGTGTGGCTTGCATGACCATCTGAGTGAGGGGGAGGGGGTGGCGAGCAAGGGGGGGGATGGGCGGCGAGAGTGAGAACAGAAGCTGGGCTGGCACATATGTCACTCCAGCTCTGCTCGTGTGGCTTGCATGACCACCTGGGTGGCAACGAATGAGAAAGGACAGTGGGGAGGGAATGGAAACAATGATTGGGAGACACTCAATCCAGTTGATTCGTATTCCAAATTGACTGGCATGACTCACATTGACTTGCATGACTCACATTGACTTGCATGTCTCACATTGACTTGCATGACTCACATTCAACTCCATGTACGACGCTTTGAGCTCCAGCCAGTTAGCGTCCAGCAACTCAAACGTGACACAGTAGAGATGAACACAAGGGTAGTGCATGTTCGTGTGCACGTGCATGTATATGTGGTTGACTCACATTGAAAACAAACTGTGGTTGACTTCCATTGACTCACATTGAATTCCATGTACGACGCCTTGAGCTCCAGCCAGTTAGCGTCCAGCATCTCAAACGTGACACAGTAGAGGTCCTCAAACGCTGTTGGGTGCTCTGGTAGCATCTTCAGGAAGGCCCGTCCAGCTACTGTTGCGGGAATGTCTGGAGAAACAATGAGAGAGGAGAGAATGTACAAGGAAAGGGAAACGGAGATCGCGAGGGGAACGACCCATTCAGCATCTGACACCGACAGGTGCTCTGATATAAGGTTCAGGAAGGCCTGTCCGGCCACTGTTGCAGGGATATCTGAAAAGAGATTAGGAGGAGCACATACAAGGGGAAGGGGAACAAAGATGGGAATGGCCCATCCCATCCAGCACATCAAACGTCACACAGAGGAGATTCACAAAAGTGAAGGATGTGAGGGATTGGAGGATGGGAGGGGCGTGAGGGAGGGATGACATTGCCTGTCTTCTTGGACAGTCAGGGACGACTGGCATTCTTTCCAGACCCGGACGCTCACCCTTGCGCAAGTCGAGGATGCTTATAAGGAGTACGGTGATGTTCACCCCGGCTGCTCCAAAGGGGTACTCCCACTCAACCCGGCGACCCTCCTGCTTGTACATGATGCGCTGAAACGACCTCTGCATTCAGGCACAGAAAGGGCAAGCAGAAAACACGTGTAGAGGAAGAAAATTCCTCGAGATATTTCAGTATCCTCCTGCCTGTGCATGATGCGCTGGAACCACCTCGGCAGCCAGACACAGAAAGAACAAGGAAAAAATACGCTTGCTTGAGAATTCATGCTTCCGTAACTCCAAAACATCTTCTCACCCCTCCCTTCCCCCCCTCCCTTCCCCCCCGCCCTCCCCCCGCTCCCTTTCCCCGCTCCCTTCCCCCCCTCCCTTTCCCCGCTCCCTTCCCCCCCTCCCTTTCCCCGCTCCCTTCCCCTCCTCCCTCCCCAAACGTACTGGGTACGTGCGAGCATAGTACACCAAATTCTCCAGCGCGAAAAATCCCCCGCCCCTGAAATCCGAGGCTGGGTTCTTCCCCTGCCACCCCATCTCCTTCCACCCCGCCACCTCTACCTCTTCAGTCAACACCCGCCCCGGATACGCCTGCTCCCACAGCTCTACTAGCGCCAATCTATGCTCCTCCTTGTCGTTTTCAAAGGGCGGCTGTATCCTCGTTTGTAGCTGCTTCAGGCACCGCTCCTGGGGCTCGGAGAGGGTGACTGGGGGAAGGGCGGGGACTCCACCGCGCAACTGCGGGGGGCCTCCGCGGGAGGGTGCGCGCGCGTGCGGGGGAAGCAGCAGCGTGGAGGCAAAAGAGCCGCCCAGAGCAAGAACTTTGGTGCGCGCACCCGCCATAAGCTGGCCTGGTGGCAGGGGAGTGGGGAGAGATGGGGGAAGAGTAGTGGGGTAAGGGAGTGAGTCAGGGGAAGAACGGGGATAGAACGATCAATCTTATCTTAGGTACAACCTCCTTAGAAGTAAACAACAATGCTTGTTTGTATCGTTTCAAAACACTTTGAAGCAGTAGAAAAGGGAAAAAGAGAATGATAATACTAGACCCACCTAGCCATGAGGCCCATTGAAAGACGAATGATCCGAGAAGGTGCTGCCAAACTCTCGAGCCGACTTCCCCTGGCCTTGGAGATCCTGGCGACTGCACGGAATAATGAAGCACGGAATAATGAAAATGTCCGTGAGAGGAACGGATTTTATAATATATTTCTGTCAAAAGGACGAATAAACCAGAAAATCCTTCCAAAAGAACGGAGGAAATGGAAGGACGTCCGTCACGACTAAAGGAATCACGAGCCGGACAGAAAGGCTGAGAACACGCGGGTGTAATCGCTAGCTGAGGCGGCCTAACGACGATGTAATGTAAGGTGTTCATTTGTGGAGGAAGGCACAAAGGAGGTATAGACGACGGCTATTAGACGAAGTCAAGAAAATGTTATGAAGTCCAAACTGATGATTATGTCGTATCCCATCTGCACAAAAACATGATAACGTCAGCATGAATGTTAATGGTCCTCACTGGTTATTTCCAATTTCACGTTCATGGCTCTATAAAGCATCAACGACTGACCGACCTTCGCGTCGGCATTTGGGCTGGCGACACCATTCGCGGGATTCGCACAGGTCGTAGACGTCGCAGGCGGATCGCGTCGGTCGTCATCGTCGTCGTGTCGGTCGTCGCATGACAGTAGCGGTTCTTGAAGGGTGGATCGCACTGCGTTGCCTTCGTTGCTGACTCGACGTCTAATCACGGCTGATTGAGGCATGGCCGATACAATCTACAATCAAATTTAGATTCTAATGTACAGAGAGATTCGATCTATGATGGATTACCCTACCCTATTATTGTGAGCCGGCTTCCGTAACAGTATTATATCTGTCCTACCTCATGAAAGGCAGAATCGAGGCCGAAAATACGAGCAATCAGGAGGAGGTGAAGCGGACTCACTTTCGAGGAAGCCTACCACAACACAACAGATATTAAGTACAAGAACAGCGCGCCTGAGACGGCGACGTCGAGTGACGAAAGAGCAGATTTACCATTGGGAGACTTCAGTGACACATCAACCGAAAGCTAGAGGAGTCTGAAGTGAACGAACAAGGACAATGGAGCCACGCTAGCGCATTATAAGGCTAAGATAACGAGCGTTGAGCACTGATAATGGCTGCACAGACAGACACAACCAGCCTGCTGATAATGAGCATTCAGGCTAGCCTGGAGCCCATAACGAGCATTCAGTTGTTGCCCTCCCTAGAGAACTCTCTGACGCTTCTGTCTGCTCCCTGACAGACTGGAATTGGAACAGAGATAACTCCGTCCGACGGCACCCTTTGGAGTGGTCACTGCTAACTGAGAACGCCGATTCCGTCCGTGCCTTGTCATCCGCGTTTCCTCCGTCCAACACATCTATCCATCCATCCCTCTGCTTCCGTCTACTGGCGGTTGGGATGGAAACGGGAAACTGCGGCTCCGTCTGGAAGTGTGTCAGCCGACAGTATGGGTGGGGCAAGCCCCAATCAGAGCAGAGCGCGCGAGTGAGCACGCAACCTCGCCTTGTGCTCCAACTCCCACGAATCGGTACACTTTCACGTTCAGCACATTAGGAATATGATGGCACAGATCACCTGTTTGAAGGAATTGTTAATGCAGCCATTTTCTTACTACTTAGTATATATAAAGCATGGTCAGCATAGCGTGACAAGGATGGACAAAACAAGCTGGATGTGTCTACCCTTTGATAGATTTTGTTCTCATCCATCCCTTCGCACGCAGCGAAGGAGACTTGTGCGGGACTAGGGACTCCATTAGCTTCCTAACTCTATGATGCCTCGTTGTGTCATGAACGGCAGCAGGAGATGCCTCATCTTCAATCTGCAAAAGAAGAAAAACGCAGAACAAACACGTTAAGTTTAGATCCAAGGACAGCAAACAAGGCAAGCACATGACGATAATATGTCACCATACCTTCACAGCTTTCTTTTGGAAGCAAGAGAAGTCCCTTCTTCTCAGGGCAGACCTAAGCATCTGCCGGGCTGCCCGCCCAAAACTCTCCTCCGCTTCCCGAGCCAAAGCCGACAGGGCCGGCTGCACCTCAGCCGCCAGATCCGGCCGAAGCTCTGCCTGTCCCGAAGCACAGCGCAGAGCCAGAAGCACCACCACAGATGCAATCTCCACCGGCCATTCCCCTGCTGTCACATCCAGTCGGCTCAAAAACACGTCTACAGCCTCAGCCAGGTTGAACCCGCAGGTAACACCTCCCCCAGAAACCCCTCCCCCGGCCACCCTGCCTGCTGCTTCCCCAGCTGAGTCTTCCCTGTGCCCATCCATCCCACCCCCACCACCTGCCCCTGAACCTCCTGCTGCAGTCGAGTGCGTGTGCATGAGGGAGTGGATAAGTGAGGGGCTGGTGATGCCGGTTACCAGCTGTAACACCACAATGCCGTATGCATGCAGGTCGTCACTTAGTACGCCCGTGCTGCTGGGGCCATGCTGGCCTGGACCCTCCGCTCCCACTGCTGTGCTGCTGCTGGGGTCAGAATCCGAGGCAGAGGCAGAAGCAGAGAGAGGGCTGCTCCCCAGGCTACCATAGAAGGGAGACGAGGAGAATGAGAGGCCAGCACCGCTGAGTTTACACGCGGAGTTTCGGTCCAGAAGCACGTTCTGTAGAGTCACGGCGCCGTGCAGCACGGGCGGCGAGTGCTGGTGCATGAAGAGCAGCGCTCCTGCCAGCTCAGAGGCCAGTCGCAGCCGGTCCACCCAGGACAGCCATATTGCTTCTAGCTCCTCCTCTTCCTCCTCGCCGAAGGTAATGCCCCGTTCTCCACTAGGAGAAGCAGCAGCACCGTCCCCTGCACCGCTGCTGCTGTTACCAACACCCTCCTCTGCTCCAGTAGCAGCACCACCAGAACCACCACCACCATCACCACCAGCAGCAGCAGTGGCAGCGGCAATAAGGGAGTGGATGCGGGAGAGGCGGGAGGAGAGGCTGCCCCCAGGAGCGAACTCATACACAAGGCAGGGGTACTCGGGGCAGTGGCCCATCAGCAGCAGCAGGTGCGGGTGCCTGAGCCGCCTTAACACGTCCACTGCTGCTTGCACTGCTGCTTGTACTCTCTCTCGAGACACTTGACCTCCCCCTTCTGTGGACGGATCAAGGAGACCGGATGAACCGAAGGAGCCAAACGCACCCGATGAGGCAACAGCGGCACCATCTGCTTCCACCACTCGCTCCTCTTCCTGCTTTCCCCCTCCCCCCTCTGCACCATCTACTGCAGTCTTTTCAGTCTTCTCATTCTTGTCTGTTCTTCCACACGTGTCCTCATGCACAGTCAGCAGTTTGATCGCCACCTGGCACCCAAATATCTCCCCCCGGTAGCTCGGCCCGAGCCTGCCTTGGCCAATCAGCTGCAAGGGCGAGAAGCCCCCCGTGGCTCGGAGAATCTGGTCCGGGGGGAAGCGGTGGCAGTCCGCCGAGTCTATCCGGCTGGTTTGGAATCCGGCTTGGGAGGAGGAGGACGAGAACGAGGAGGAAGGAAGCGGGATAGGGAAAGCTTGCTGCTCAGTGCTCCCCATTCCCGGATTACTGCTGCTGCTGCTGTTAGCAGGGCTAGCAGCACCACACGACCCACCATCTCTTGACCCTTCTCTTGCTGCCACCGCTGCAGCGTTCCCTACTGCTGCTGCAACCTCTGCTGCTACTGCCTCGACCCCACCCCCCATCTCACCCTCACTCCCCATGCTCCTCCTGCCAGACACCCACAGCTTCTTCCCCACCACCACAGGTTGCTGGGGTAAAGCTGGGGATCCCTCTCCCTTCAAGCTTTTCTCAGGGTGATTTCCCCCTTGCTCCAATCCACCCTTCAAAATCCCTCTTTCGCTCTCTCTTTCTGCCTTGCTTCCTCCTTCTCTCCCTCCCTTTCTCCCTCCCCCTATTGCTTGCTCGTGGGATACAGTCCTTGCTACCTTCATTCCTCCGGTCCCTCTACCCCCCACTGGGCCTGTGAGCGGGGTTACGTTCGGCGACGGCGAGCCTACCGAAGCTGCTCCCGAGCCTGCCGCCGAACCTCCTACAGAGGCTGAGGTTGGGGCGATACGAGGAACGATGAGTAGGCTCGTGTCGATTCCCTCAAACTCGTTTCCCTTCACATGGAAATCCTCGCTCCCCTGGTGCGAATGCCACCCGGTCCGCCCACCTGAAAACCCACCTGAGAAACCACCTGAGAAACCACCTGAACGTCCACCTGAGCTCTTGGCAGCTTGCATATCAGAGTGAATAGCAGACAACCCAGCTGCCACACTCTCTAACCCCTTCCACAGAGGAGACTTATCCCCATGAGATCTCTCCCCACCATACGTCTTCTCCCCCTGCCCCGTCCCCTTGCCATACCCCCCGTGCGCCCCCTGTCCCCCCTTGCTGCTGCTGCTGCTGGTGCTGGTAGTACCACTGACGGAGGAGGAAGAGGGGAAGAAGCCTCGGCCCCTGGTGGGGTGGGGAGGGGGGGTGCCCTGGGGAGTGATGGAGGCAGAAGAGGAAGAGCCGGAGTGCCTGCGCGTGTGGTGGCCTGTCCCCTGCTGCCGCTGCTCATCCTGCTTCTCCTGCTGATCCTGCTGCTGCTGCACCTGCTGCAGCCCCTGTCTCTGCTGCCCCTGTTCCTGCCTCTGCTGCCCCTGCTGCTGCTGCTGCCCGCCTGCCAGAGCAGGGTGCACGGGGGACGGCTTGTGCTGCTCGACCAGAATCTTCTGCAGCCCAGTGAACTGCTGCCGCATCTGCTGCTGCAGCCTCATCATGCGCTGCCGGTCTGCCTCTGACACTGGCCCACTGTTCGACCCTGCTGCTGCTCCTGCCGCCGTCGCTGCTGCTACAGCTACAGCTGTTCTGTCCCCTGCCGCCCCCGCCTCGTCCCCCATGCCCCCTCCTCTTCTTCCCACCCCTCCTCCTGCTGCTCTTCCTCCTGGGGTTAATGCTCCAGGGCTTGTTCCAGGGAGAGAAAAGCCTCTGGGGGAAGCCAGGGGGACGAGTGTGTTTGGGTTGTCTTGACTAGCCGCGCGGCTGAATCCTGTGTTACTGTTCATACTGCCACTGTTCCCAGCATACGGCCCAAAAGCACCTGAGGATTCACCTGGGGTTCGCCCGTCTCTGCTGGAGGCGCTAAGGCAGCCAGGGCTGGGGGTGGGTGTGCGGGACGGGTGGGGGGAGGTGCTATCTGGGACGATGATTCGCAACGGGCGGAATTTTCGCTGCCCGGCGGGCAGGTTCTGCTGCTGCTCGGGCAGGTGATGCGACTGCTGCTGCGACTGTTGCTGTGACTGCTGCTGCTGTTGCTGTTGTTTTTTCTGCTGCAGCAACTGAAGCTGCTTCAGCACCTGCTGCTGATGCTGCTCCTCATGCACTGTCGACGGTGTTGGCAGCAGCACCGCTGGCACCCCAGCACCAGCAGCAACACCCCCACCACCACCACCACGACCAGCACCAACACCACCAGCAGCACCAGCAGCACCAGCACCAAAGCCAACGCTACCAGCAGCAGGCACCCCACCAGGGCTTCCCAAGGCGGCAGCAGCACTCCCGGCACGCACACGACCCGCCACCTCCGCTCTATCCCACAGAGACACGATCCTCTGCTGCCCGATGGCCACCCGCTGCAGCTCTGCCTCCCAGTCCGCTATAGTGAAGGAGGACTTGGGCCGACACACCGCGTCGTACCCATCGTCATCGTCGTCGTCGTCGTCCTCCTCATCATCCTCATCCTCGTTATAGTCGTTCTCGTTATAGTCGTTGTCGTTGTCACTTCCAGCGTCGTTTTCTCCGCCGTCATTGTCGTAACAGTGTTCATCAGCAGGATAGCCAGCAGCAGCAGCGGCGGTGGCGGTGGCGGTGGCAGCAGGAGCATGAGCCGCAGAGGAGGAGGAAGAGCCAGAGGAGCCAGCTTTGCGTGAAGCAGGAGTGGCAGAAGAAGACGAGGAATGCGAGTCAGGGAAGCGAGGCGATGCCGACGCAACAGGGGCGGCAGGATTTGGACTGGAGGGGCTGCCTTTGCGTGGTTTGGACTTGCGTGAGCGTTTGGAGGAGGAGGAGGAGGAGGAGCCTGGTTGGCCCACCACTAGCATGCAGCCAGGGGGGAGGCGGCGGAGCAAGGGGTGCGTGGATTGAGTGAGAAGGCGGAAGACAAACCTGGGGGGGGGGGGAGAGGGGAGGAGGGGTGGGAGAAGAGGGGAAATGGGGGAGGAGTTTGATACTGATTGATTGCTGTGCCACGAGCCTGGTTGCCTTGCTGCATTCAGGGGGTAGACAAGGCACAACAACGCAACCAGCTCACCTCGTCGTCCCCTTCCACCCACCCACCCACTTCCCTTGCTGCTTCCACCCACCTCTTGTTCCCCACGTACAGCCGTTCTGCTGCAGTGGCCCACACGGCCTGGCAGATCCCGCTTGATCCCCACCCACCCACCTCTTGTTCCCCACGTAGAGCCGTTCTGCTGCAGTGGCCCACACGGCCTGGCAGATCCCGCTTGATCCCCACCCACCCACCTCTTGTTCCCCACGTAGAGCCGTTCTGCTGCAGTGGCCCACACGGCCTGGCAGATCCCGCTTGATCCCCACCCACCCACCTCTTGTTCCCCACGTAGAGCCGTTCTGCTGCAGTGGCCCGCACGGCCTGACAGAGCGCCTCGTCCCGCCGCTGCCCCCACTCCACGTGCACGCGCGCAGGCACGCGCGCCTGCCCGCACTGCGCCAGCAGCGGCTGCAGCAGCGCCTGCAGTACAGGGGACACCCCCTCGCTGCTGCCCCCGCTGCCCTTCTGCTGAAGGGCCGCGCCCACTGAGGAGAGACAGGGTAGGGCAGGCGGGAAGCAGAAGGGGAAAGAGGGGTTTCAGCAGGGAGTGCAGCAGCGCCTGCAGTACAGGGGACACCCCCTCGCTGCCCCCACCGCTCTTCTGCTGGAGGGCCGCGCCCACTGAAAAGAAGGGGAAGGGGCGGGAGGGAAGCAGGATTTAAAAAGAGAGGGTTTTTTAGCAGAGAAGAAAAGAGGTGTCTCAGTAAGGCATTGTCACGCCAGTGCTGCTGCCCCCTCGTTCGGCCTCCGCCACTGCCCCCATTCCACGTGCACGCGCACAGGCACCCGCGCGCGCCTGCCCACACTGCTCCAACAGCGGCTGCTCCAGCACGAGATAGGAAATGCAGGAGAACGCGGAGGCAGTGAAAAAAAGAAATATCACTTGACCTCGCCTAAGGCCCACCAAACCAAACACACCCTGGACTACTACAGATACCTATACACAGGAGGGTTTAGGGCAAGACTACTCACAAACGCTGAGCTATTATACGCCACGAAGCACAGCACAATATCGTCCAACCCTAAACTCAATGCCAGCCCACCCTATTGTGACGAGTTTTGAGACGTCACAAACGCATGTACACACGAGAGGTTAGGGCAGCAGTACTTACGAATGCCTAGCCCTTCTCCCGCCACGAAGCACAGCACAATTTCAATTCCCGGACTCGACTCCAACACCCCTTCGCGTCCTCCTGCTCCTGCTGCTCCTCTTCTTTCTTGATTCGGCTCCACCTCTCCTCCTCCTCCTCCTCCTGCCGCTTCCGTATCCGCGTCTCTACCACCGGGAACTCCGAGCCTTCTCTCAGCGGCTTCCTTCTCCAGCTGCTTCTGCCGGTCGTGTAACGCTAACGTTAACAGAGCACCGTTCAGTTCCATGTTCTTGACGGAATTCGCTTCCACCATCCAGAGCCTCGGGGGAGAGGGCCCGGTTCGGTCGGTAGCGGATGACGCCATGATTCCGTGATAAAAAAAGCTAGCCTTTGAAACCCGTTTATTGACGGGGGCCAGCCCTTGAAACGCGTTTCTTTCAAGGCGCCAGGCCTTCAACACAAGTCTGAACTCCGCGACAACAGACGCGGCGTTGCTCGAGTTTGGCAACACTACCTTATTACATGCTCTTGTCCTAACGAAGTCTTGCTGGGTAAAAAGGCGCGAAGACTATAAAAAAACACTTAGGTAAAGATGTTAGATTGGTAGCTGGACGCTGGTCGGCGTCGGCGAAGTCGGAAAAGTTGAAATGCAGACGAGGTCAGACTACCCTAAGCTGCTCGCCGTGCAAAATGGCTAGACTACTACTTGAAAGCAAGGTTCTTAGGCTACTACTAGAAATAAAATGATGACGGAACTAACTCAGGCAGCTCAGCCCTCAGCTATCTAGCCTCGCAGGATGTCAAGTTTGAAATTCTGAACAACGCCAACAATGGAGGGAAGAGAATGAACGTTGACCAGGGTCAGCGAGGAAAAGTCCAGTCAGTTACGTTACGGCAACAAGCAGAGGGACCACGTAAGCAGCCACGAGGGGGACGTGTGAGGTACGGACAATGCAGCTTATGCTCGTCGTGTCGTGACTCGTGGTGAGCCAGATGGAAGTGGCACGGATTATGTTCTTCTGGAAGCCATGAAACAGAGAAAAGAAACGCTTGTGCGTGGACCTCGAAGTCTGGACTGGCTGGACTTGCAGCATTGTGGAGGTACAGTGAGGTAAAATCGGAGACGGAGGGGTTGTGAAATGCGAGTAGTACGGTTTTGAAGGCACAAAGAGAGGGTAAATGCGGTACATTACGGTGCGTTCAGCGACAAGCACCTCAGGACAGCATGACTGTTACGATGTTAGTGTGACGGTTAGCTTCACAGCATCGTAACGGCGATGACGAAATGGACGGCATGGATGTCTCGAGTGTGATGTAAGAGCGTCCTCGACGTTCTCGAGATTGTGCTCCTGCGCTGGGCGAAGCCGCAGTCAGTTGCCGAAATGCAGTTTGAGGAGAAATGTGTTACAGACCTAGGACGAAATTGAGCAGCATCTCTGATATTCGCAAAATATCGAGGTTACTAATAACGGAGGGATAATTTCATTTTCGAGCCGCTTTACCAGCCAAGCCAACCAATGAAAGGCGTTGATCCAACCAATGAAAGCTGTAGAATTCCCTCTTCCGCTGACTGAAATTGACGAACAAGATTTTCCGATCGGCACCTACAGAAGCCACGTCACTTTGCGCTGCGCGCGCATGTGTGGTTCGAAACAGCTGATCCAACCAAACTGCCAGAATGCCTTATCCGTGCCGTGACCCGTTCAGGCGAACTGTGCAAACAGTCAAGTTCACTCAATACCTCAATTAGCCGTTGTGAAAGCTATTTCAAACGTTTTAGAACGCGAAGTTGTTTTCTCTTAGTGGTTATGTTAATGAAGCGACAGCCACCTTGACAGGGTTGCCCATTAGCTATTTATCCCTGAGAACGGCGAATGACGGTCTGGGCTAGTGAAAGCGCCATGACGGCAAAACTGTCCACTTTCTCAGACTGCTTGAGCCTGAGAAACACAGCACGGCCTTCTTCATTCGCGAGTAGAAGCGAAAGTTTACGATTAGCGAAGAGTGGGGTAACCATCACTTGCAAGCCATCTGTAACCATCAGGTCAGTGGTAACGGTAACGAGAGAAACACGACCTTCTGCCAGTGACAATGTATCAAGCCGTTTGACGCGGAGGGTGATCTCTTCTATAACCCCAGCATCATCGTCAGCAGCAGCGTACAGCCCCGAAGGCTTCCGATGCTATGTCGGACAAAGAATAGCTGGCCGGAGAATCCTTCGAACCATCCTTCCAAGTCCGGGAGCTGCAATCGGCGGAGGGGTGGGACTCGTGGATGAGGCGGAAACGAGAGGGGAGGGGGAAGCGGGAGGCGGAGGATCGGAGGAAGCAGTATGCGGGGGATCCGGGGAAGGAACTGGAGCGGGGAAGGCAAGCGGAGAGGAGTCTGTGAATGGTGAGGAACGGAGAGCGGGGAATGGCGGAGATTTGCCAGCAGAGGCGCTGAGAGCTCGCGGGAGTTCCGCGAGCGCAAGCGAGGGAAGAGGGGGGAGAAGAGAAAGAAGGGATGCTGGTTCGGAGGGGACCCCGCGGAATGCGGACGGCGAGATGGAGGCGAAACGCGAAGAGGGAGCGCTCGCGAGGTTCGCCAAGGGATTTCGCGCGTTTGTTACCAGCAACTTTCTCCTCGTTGGTGAGTAGAAAGTCCTGGAAGGCAGCTGTACTCACGTTCCACCTGTCTAACATCGGCTTTGCTTTGGGGCTCAGACTATTCATATCCATTTCCCCTCCACCACCCTCCGGTCCTGCAGCCATCAGCACGGGAATCGCTCTGGCAGTGCTGCATCCTGCTCCCAAAGCCTTCGCCCAGTCCCAGATAGCTTTGCTATAGACCTTAGAAAAATCGTACCATTCCCCCCCTCCACCCTCCTCTCCTGCAGCCATCAGCACGGGAATCGCGCTGGCAGTACTGAATCCTGCTCCGGGCATCTACGCCCAGTCAAAAATCGGCCTCGCCCGCTACTGCACGTTTGGCATCTTCTTTGTCTCCGGTGGGTACGGTGTGGGGTAGGTAGGGAAGAGAAGAGATTGATGATGGTAGAGTGAAGCTCAGACACTAAAGTTGGTAGGGTGGGGAAATGAAGAGGCGGAGGCGGATTTGTAGGTACTCCGGTGCCACGTCACCTCTCATGCCACGTCACATCCATGCCACATCACCTCCCATGCCACGTCACCTCCCATGCCACGTCTCCTCCCATGCCACATCACCTCCTGTGTCACATGCACTCACCAGGCATTGCGTTGGACCTGGAGGAGCTCCGCAGAGCAGCCAGCTCGTGGCCTGCCTTCCTCTACGGCTCGGTGTGTCCCCCCTCTCTGAGCCGCCTATCAGCCGCCTATGGGCCTATCTCATGTTTTTTAGGCGCCTCAAAAAGGACCAGCCAGCTCGTGGCCCGCCTACCTCTACGGCTCGGTGTGTTTCCCATTGCGCCCTCTATTCAGTCACGTCCCAGCCGTCTTCTGTGCACTTCACCAGTAGCATCTCTCGCGCTAACCATTCATTGACTTGGCCATTACGTGGCTTGCAGTTTTTGTCGCGTTTTACACTCTGCTGGAATCCAGGCAATACACATGCCGGGATTGCATTGCAATTCCCCCCCCGCCTTCCCCCTCAACCTTTTCCTCTGGCCCCGTCCATTACCACCCCCACCCCCCCCCCCCCCCCTTCCATTTGCCTTTCCACACTCGCCATGCTGCCTCCTCGCCGCCGCCTCCCCGCAACCTCTCAGCCCTCTCATGGCCTCACCAGATACAAGTTTTGAGTAGACTCAAAACTCCTCTCCAGCTGCGCATTTCCCATTTCTCTCCCTCTATCCCTTTCACTCCCCTCTCCTCCCTCCAGCTATCCACTCTCGCCATAACGCCCCTCATGGCTCTGCTCGTGCTGCGCCTGCCGCTGCTGCCCCTGCTGCACTTCCCCCTTCACACACTCTCTATCCCTCATCCCTATCACTTCCCCCTCCTCACCCCGCCCTCCCTGCAGCTATCCACGCTCGCCATAACGCCCCTCATGGCCCTGCTCGTGCTGCGCCTGCCGCTGCTGCCACGGGAGCTACCCACAGGTGTGCAGTGCGGTTCCGCTTGGTAAGCATGCCTTCATTCGTTGGTTCCACCTTCGCCTTCCTCCCTGTTGGCTCGTCTGATGCATTTCTGCCACCAACATTTCTGCCACCAACATTTCTGCATGGATAGGTCGATTTTTAAGTCGACTTAAAAATCATTTCTGCCACCAACATTTCTGCATGGATAGGTCGATTTTTAAGTCGACTTAAAAATCATTTCTGCCACCAACATTTCTGCATGGATAGAGAACCCCGCCCCCACCTTACGCCCCCACCTTACGCTGACACCCCCCCTTTCCCCCCCCCCCCCCCCCCCCACACCTTTTCTGGATCCACACCCCCGCCCCGCCCCCCGCCTTACGCTCTCCCTCTGTGCTCTTCGCTCCCCATCCAGCTTCTTGTTTCTGCTGCATGCCTGCAACCAACCAACCTTGCCCCCTCCTCCCTTCCCTGCCTTGCGATCTCCCTGTTAGCTTGTTGCTCCCCAATCACCGAGCTGACTTTTGAGTCGACTCAAAAGTCAGCTCAGTATAATGTGGGGTTGATTTTTGAGTCGACTCAAAAATCGACTCAAAAGTCAGCTCAGTATAATGTGGGGTTCCATTGCTCTCCCTGTTAGCTTGTTGCTCCCCAATCACCTCGCATCGCCACATCACCACAGGCCTCGCGCTCTCTTCTGCTGCATGCCTGCCACCATCACACAGCATGCACCCTCATTGCCCTATCTCCCTTTTTGCCTCTAATTCACTCCCCAACCCCTCCACATCCCTCTGCACCTCCGCGCCTCACACCACAGGTCCCGCGCTCTTCTGCTGCATGCCGGCCAGCATCACAGCAGGCATCCCTTCCTTCCCATCCCCAACTTACGCTCTCCTACTTTGCTCTCCCCTTTTTTACCGTCACTCCTCTCCTCATCCCCACAGGTCTCGCGCTCTTCTGCTGCATGCCTGCCACCATCACCGCAGGCATCTCTCTTGCACGGGTAGGCACAGCATGAGAATCAGGATGGTTTCATTCATGATGGTTTCATTCATGATGGTTTCATTCATGATTACAGTCGAATCGACTGGACAATGGCCTTCTCGTTGGCAGAGGCGCCGTCTTCTGAGTTGACTGGCATGCTGCATGCCTCGTGTATGAACAAGTCTTTTGAGACGTCTCAAAACACTTCTCGTTAACATAGGTGTCTCGTTAAGTGTTTTGACTCAGGGTCGTCTCTTCTGCTGTATGCCTGCCTGCCGTCATCACCGCAGGAATCACTCGCAGCTCGGCCTTCACGTGTTAAAGTCATAGCCCCCCTCTCCCAATGTCTGTCTCCTCCGGGTGTTTTCGAGAATCCTCAGAAACACCCTGGCCCCCTCTTTATCCGTCCCTCCCTCTCGTCCTCCCTTCAAAGAATCAGCTCTCTGGTTAGATGGACGAAAACCCACTTCCTTCCCTCTCACTCTTGCCTGTCTCTCGCCCTGCTATTTTTCTCTCCATTTTCCCCTATTTGCCCGGCCTTTCTCCCACCAGGCAGCACATGCCAACACAGCATTGGCTCTCGGCCTAACTGTCGTCACCAACACTATTGGCATACTCACTGTAAGCTCTCCCACTATAAGCCCCACCGTTTGACACCTTCATGTTACTCGCAGCCAGCCAGATAATTCACCTGATTCCCCCAACCTTCCACAGATGTCATTTCCTGGCTACAACACCCTATTCTTAACCCTTTCCACTCAATACCAGCACCATCTCAGGGCCAACATGGCCGATGCACCATCTCAGGGCCAGCATGGCCGATGCACCATCCCCTTCCTCCTCAACTCCCCATCTTCAACACCCCAATCCCCTCCCCTCTCCCTCCCCCTCCCCTTTTCCTCAAGCCCCCAACTGCAACACCCCAACGCCCTTCCTGCTCCCTCCCCCTTCCCCTTCCCCGCGCTTTCCCGTCCTGCTCGTTCCAGCCAGTGGGAGCGTGGCAGTATCAGCAGGGCCCTGGTCACTTTTGAGGCGCCTCAAAACTCGTTCCAGCCAGTGGGAGCGTGGCAGTATCAGCAGGGACCTGGTCACTTTTGAGGCGCCTCAAAACTCGTTCCAGCCAGTGGGAGCGTGGCAGTATCAGCAGGGCCCTGGTCACTTTTGAGGCGCCTCAAAACTCGTTCCAGCCAGTGGGAGCGTGGCAGTATCAGCAGGGCCCTGGTCACTTTTGAGGCGCCTCAAAACTCGTTCCAGCCAGTGGGAGCGTGGCAGTATCAGCAGGGCCCTGGTCACTTTTGAGGCGCCTCAAAACTCGTTCCAGCCAGTGGGAGCGTGGCAGTATCAGCAGGGCCCTGGTCACTTTTGAGGCGCCTCAAAACTCGTTCCAGCCAGTGGGAGCGTGGCAGTATCAGCAGGGCCCTGGTCACTTTTGAGGCGCCTCAAAACTCGTTCCAGCCAGTGGGAGCGTGGCAGTATCAGCAGGGCCCTGGTCACTCGGACATGTGCTGTGCCCTACATACGACACTCCAGCCCACTCTTCCCCTTCTCTCTCCACTTTCTCTCCCTCTTCCCCCCCCTTTTCCCCTCCCTCCGGTCTCTTTCTCAGATGCCTCTACTCCTATCAAGGCTCGTTCCAGCAAGTGGGGGCGTGTCAGTACCAGCAGGGCCACTGTTACGCGGGCTGGTTACCACTCTCCTCGTTCCTCTCTTCATTGGCATGGTATGACGTGGTGTGGTGTGGTGGGGTGTGGTGCGGTGTGGCGTGGTGTGGTATAGTACGGTGTGATTTGCGGCATCACATTAGTAGAATTTGTATAGTCAAATTAAACACCCTGCTTTTGGGCGCTATTTAGGTGCCTTTTCTGTTCCCACTCGTATGATCACTAGATCTCATCCCCTTCGCTTATCATCCCACAATTCTGAGGCCATCGGTCGCTGCAAAAAATGGGCAGCTCGTGGAATCTCAGAAGAAAAGAGAGAGAGAGCAAAAAAACATCTTTCTACTTCTTCCTTTCCTCAATGCATTCCCCTTCACCTGTCCTTTTCAACGTGGTTACTCTCTCACAACGGGGCCATCGTCAATCCCTCGCATATCCGAATGGGCTTGTAACTCAGGCAGTGCGACGAAGCATTCCAGGTGCTTACCACAACCACTCAACTGTTCTGCATCCCCAGCCTCTGCTAGCCTGCCTGCCTGCATGGAGAAACCTCAGTGAATTAGCCGTGGAAAGATGGTGCCATTTCACTTTGTTTGGATATCATTCTCCGTCCCTTCATGAGGAAGCATGAAATCCTTCTTACTCACTCTCCTTTCTCCCTTGTCTCCCATTCCTCCTCATGATCCAATCAGCTGTTGCCACGTGGGCTGATCAGTGCAAGCAGCAGCTCTCGATGGCCAACAACGCCATGCTCTCATTCGTGCGTTCCTCTTACCCCTCATTTGCGTCATTCATGTGGGTTTCTACCCCGCCCCCCACTTCCTTTTCCATACGTGCTTCCGCCCCCTAGATTGAACTTCTTTCTTTTTCCATCCCTTAAACCGTCAGGCATCTCTTGTTCTTGCAGCTTTCACCCTCCCAACTCACCGATTTTTTTCTGAACCATACACGCACCACAAAACTCATGTGTGTATTGAGGTGAGTTTTGATGCGCCTTAAAACTAAACTCATGCGTGTGTGTGTGTGTCTCGTGGTCCTCTCCAGGTACCCTGGATGCAAGTCAGTTCCGCCCGGGCGGCGATTCTTCGTCTCGACATGACACAACTGCTACCCATTGCCGCCGCTGGCATGTATGTCCATGCCACATCATAGTTTGCCATGGTCTGTGTGTATCAATCAACAGTCTGGGCACATCCCACATCCCACATGTTACCCATGCAACATGCATGCAACTGCTGCACATTGCTGCTGCTGTTGCTGGCACTGGCATGTACGTCCACTCCACAACGTTTGCCTTTGGTTGTTCTAATTGTCCCTCGAACGAATCACCCCTCCTTTTCCATTTCAAGAGGCTAATATTGTGGACGAATCTGTGAGGTTTGAGATAACTCCTTCCTCTCGCCTCTCAATCCCTCCCGACCCTAACCAACCCCTCCCGATCCCTCCGATTCTTCCCAATCCCTACCAATCCCACTCTGACTTTCAATCAGAGCCGTCCATCTGTCCTTCCTGGCGCTCAACATGGGAGTGATGGCGGCTCTGAGGCGAATCACCCCTCCCCTTCCCCTTCAAGAGTCCATTATTGTGGACGGAAGTGTCAACCAACTACTCTGAGTGAACTGAGATTGTTTTTTCCTACCGATCCCTCCTCATCCTTCCCAATCCCTCTAAATTCCACCCAATCCCTCCCCTGAATTCAAATCAGAGCCGTCCATCTGTCCTTCCTGGCTTTAAACATGGGAGTGATGGCGGCTCTGAGGCGAATCACCCCTCCCCTTCCCCTTCAAGAGGCCAACGCTGTCGATAGAGCCGTCATTATCCTCTCCAGTCAGGTAACAATACATTAATAACATAAGCATATCAACTATTCCCGTATCCTGGTGAGTACTACCTTCGTGTCACCTATTCCAATGGATGTCCTGTGTCACGGACTGGATTCTATCCAATTTTTTAAATTATATTTTCAAGTAGCTCTGTTTGTGACACTCTGCAAACTCCCGTACCCTTGTAATGTTCGTCACCCTGTGGCAGAAAACCCTTCCAGTGGCTGCAACAGTGGTGGAGAAGATTGGAACACTTATGGGCGAGCCAGCATTGGTCCTTCTGCCATGCATCCTCACCCATTTTCTCCAGGTCAGCTAAATGCTTTACCTTTCGGTTTTTTGTGTGAAGCTATGCTTCTATTGTGTGTGCGGATGTATCTTATTATTTTGGGCTTGTCTGTTCATGGCGGACACTCTGGTTTGGTGCGTTGTATAACATAGAAAGTTCGTGCTTTTGTTGCGATTGCAGATATTTATCGACTCGCTACTTGTCAACAAATGGTTAAATGATGATAGGGAGCGTGACACTGCCAATTGGGCTAAGAAAATTGTGTAAAACTGTCACGCTAGATTCCTCGGAATGTCCATCAACAGTTTCTGCTGTGCCTGCAAGTGCTCGTCACAATTTCATCAATAAAGGGGGGTTAATCCAAAATCGTTTTTTTAGGTGTAGTCTGCACAGACAGCAGCTAATAGCGAGAATGATGCTTCCCATCATGAGTTATCACCACCGTGCTGACTTGGAGTGGCTTGTGGTACTGGATTGGATGGACAGCTGGCAAGAGCAGTCAGCCAGAAGGCCACGTAATAAGGCAGAACGAATTGTGAAGGTTTGTGTTGCGTGCGGTGACACACGCCAACGCGGATCTCTGATTCTCTCTTGGTACAGTGCTGTACAGTACGGTTTAGGCACCTTGGTCCCCGGCGAGGGCAACAGTGTGGGAAAACAGAGGGCATTCCACCGACAAGCGCGACACGCTAGCCCCTTAAGGCTCGGCAGATCTTCGAGCCTTTTGATAGGGGGCCTAACCAGAGGACATGGTTGCGCTCTGCGAGCAGTAGTTCTTAGGCTAGGAAAAACGGAACCATCCAGCCTGGCAAGGCTCGGGTGGATGCGACGCGCAATGTGGAGGGGGCATGTCACCCATGTTTGCGAAGGGCAGCCTTCCGCGGGAAGCTGGCGTGCAAGCCAAGGCTGAAGCCACGCGATTCTTCTTCTTGACCACGCGCCCTCTTCCCAACCAAGCGCAGAGTTGTTTCGCTCCGCGCCGCGCCTTTCCTCCCTCCCTGTCCTGGCGCTTCAGCATTTGCTGCACTCTTCCCCTTCTCGCCCCCCTCCCCTCCCCAGCCAGCGCCAAGCCATGGAGCCCCCATGGTCCGGTAAGCTCAGCGGAGGGCTAGGGTGCGCACTGCGCACTCGGAGTCCGAGCCTTTCGTTCACCGCCGAACCACCCCCATTCCCCCTTCCCCCCCACCCCCCCAAGAAAGTCCAACGTGCAAATCTCTTACCCCGCGTTGTATAAGAGCAGGCGCCCTCGGCATTGCAATCCGTCATCCATTACAGGGGCCGATTTCCAAATTCACCTCCTCACCCTCTCCAATTTCCTCTTTTCCGAATTCGCGCTGGGTTCTTCTGCGTGGCATTCTTCACTTCCTGGATTCTTGTCGAGGATATTCTGTCAAAATGTCGCCCCGCGTGCTTCTTCTGGCGGTGCTCATTGTGTCCGCCGCGCTTGTTTCGCGCCCTGCGCTGGCGCATCGGCGTAGCTTCGGCGTCCTGACCCAGAACCCGCATCGCGAGGAGATGCGGCTTTTGACGGACGACAGCAGCAGCGACAGCTCGTCGCACGACGACAGCAGCAGCGACAGCTCGTCGCACGACGACAGCAACAACGACAATTCGCATGACGGCAGTTCGGACGACTACCACGACGACAGTCATGACAGCAGTGACTCGTCGTCGTCGGATGACCACAGCAGCAGCGACGACAGCAGCAGCGACGACAACCACGACGACAGCAGCAGCGACGACAACCACGACGGCAGCAGCAGCGACGACAACCACGACGATAGCAGCAGCGACAGCAGCCACGACGACAGCAGCAGCGACGACAGCCACGACGACAGCAGCAGCGACAGCAGCCACGACGACAGCAGCAGCGACAGCAGCCACGACGACAACCACTACAGCAGCAGCAGTGACGGCTCGAGCAGCGGCGGCGGCCTGTCGTACAACTACTACGCGTCCACGTGCCCCAAGGCGGCGGAGATTGTCGCGGCGCGCGTATACCAGGCGTACAAGAACGACCCCGCCGTCCCCGCGCCGCTGCTGCGTCTGCACTTCCACGACTGCTTCGTCCAGGTGCGTGCCGTCGGGGCTGTGAATGTGTGACATTTTCATGCCGAACGCGCGTATGGTTGTTTATAAGTGCGCTTCGCGAGGTGGAGGCAGGGAATGCCGCATTGCGACATGGCCGCAACGCACATGAACCATGTGAAATACATTTATACTTGTCGCTGTGAGGGTAAACCAAATTCACGAAACTCTCTTTCTGCCTTTTTTTCTCCAGGGAATGCGACGCGTCTGTGCTGCTCGACTCGACGGAGGACAAGTAGGCGGAGAAGGATTCGGATCCCAACGCCACTCTCGCTAATGTTTCCGTTTGTACTCGTGCCCTTCTGTTTTATTTTCTGTTCACTTGTTCAGGGTTGCGACGCGTCCGTGCTGCTCGACTCGACGGAAGACAACAAGGCGGAGAAGGATTCGGATCCCAACGCCACTCTCGGCGCGTTCGACGTGGTCGACGACATCAAGGACCATCTTGAGGCGGAATGCCCCGGCGTCGTGTCTTGCGCCGACATTCTCGCTCTCGCCGCTCGCGAGGGCATTCACCTGGTACGTCCTCGCACACTCTTTACTGTAAAAGCTTTTCAATTTTCTTTTCCTTTTCTTTCCCCCTCATCCTCCGCACCGCCCTGCACATCCACCCCTCCCCTTCGTCCCATCCCCTCCCCTCCCCCCCTCCCCTCCTTCCCCCCCCCCCCCCCCCACACACCTTTTATGATCTGACTCATTTTATCCACCATGTCTTCGTATATTTTCTATTCCGCATTTTCGCTTATCGCAGGCCGGCGGTCCCTTCACGGAGGTGCCTCTGGGCCGTCGCGACGGGCTGACGTCATTCGCGCTCGCGGCGGAGACGTTCCTCCCGGGCTCCACGCTCAACGTCTCTGGCCTCGTCCATAACTTCAACACCGTCGGCCTCGATATGACCGACGTTGTGACTCTTAGCGGAGCTCACACTATCGGGGAGGGCCGCTGCGTGAGCCTGAAGAATCGCCTGGAGCAGGACGACCCCACGATGGACCCCGAATTCGCGGCGTACGTGAAGCAGAAGTGCGGCACGAGCAACATCGACCCCAAGGCCATGATTGAGAATGACTATGCTTCGCCAAACAAGTTTGACAACCAGGTAAGCAACACGATTCTTCTGACTTCTCATCTCAATTCTCGGCTCTCCACTTCACCCATCCCATACTTCCACCCACTCCATCCCATTTCCTTCTATCCTTCTCCCCTTCTCACCTCCTCTTTAGCATCAAACCAACCTTGTCACACACCCTTTCTTAGCCCCTTCAATACAACATCGCACGATTTTCGTTCGCTTCTACGTCTCTCCGCCTCCGCAGTACTACAAGAACCTCCTCGCGCACAAGGGCCTGTTCACGACCGACCAGGCTCTCATTTACGACGACAAGACGGAGAAGGCAGTGAAGGCCTTCGCGCACGCCAAGAGCGTGTGGTTCGACGCGTTCCCCAAGTCGCTCGTGAAGATGGGTGTCATTTCGCCGCTCACCGGCACGCAGGGCGAGGTGCGCCTCAACTGCCATGTGCGCAACACCTACTAGTGGCGCGCAGCGGAGGTATCAGCGCGCAGCTTGTGGCGCATAAAGAAGGGAGCATTCTTGGAAGAATGGAGGGGTCTAGCAGGAGATTCTTGAGCTGCTGAAAATAAGGATCTTGATGGTCGTGGTTGATTCGATTTCGTAGTGGGATGCTAGAGCCTGGACTGGGGGGTGCGTTTGGGAATGCTGTATTGCTCTGAGATGGAAATAAGGTCACGGTTCTGGGCGAAGCTTGGTCATTACACAAGTTGCAAGAAATCTTGGAGCATGACAGCCAATCAGACGTGTTCATTGCTACCAAAGTGTCCACACTTCAGATGGTGTCCAGACATCAGAACCGTGATCTAAAAGGTGGCTGCAATGTACGCTTTCTTTGGAGTGCATGTCTTTGACCACCTGCTTTTATGGTTGCTGCCGGTCAAACACACAGACGATGGTTTGATCCAGCAGGAATGTGCATCAAGGAGCAGAATTTGCCGTTGAGTTGAGAGACCCGTTGATTTCCACCAAATTGAATTTCCATCGATTTGGCGAGCCGCCGCGACCATCGAACTGAATTTGCGGCGCAGCATCGTCAGCAGAATCATGCGTTGCAGTCGTTCTCCTTTGGGGTTCCGCCATAGCGGAACAACCTCCACCACTGACGCACCTTTGAATGGAAGGATTCAGGCAATAATAGCTCTCCGCCATGGCTCCTTACGAGAACTTTGATTCAGCAAATGTCCAGCTTACCTCAACCAGTTCAGCAATCTGAATCTATTTTCTGGATCTACTCTTCAAGGGCTTGTTAATGACACCAACATTGTGTTCAAACATGTCAGAGTTATATTATTGTAACTGCATGTAGATATAGCAGTAGTGTAGTTATCACATTCTGTTTGGTGGATTACCCCCCTTTCCTATCATATTTGTACCCTTAGCTCTATAGTGAAGTCCTCTTTCATTGCCAACTCCCTCACACTCTACCTCCTAGCATGGCTCCTAAGGCTAAACCCTAGCAACATATCTTGACATGGTACAGAGCAGGAATTTCTCCTGAGGACCTATTTTTTTTAATGATCATGGGCCCACCCGTCGTGCCGCCCGTAATGCGCCCCGCGGGTCCCCCGAATCGCCCCGTGGACGAACCCCACGGGTCCCGTTTTTCGCTTTCTGCAGGCCCTTCGTTTCGCGTCGCGCCCGTGCGCCCTTTTCGTCCGTCACGCTCCCCCCGTCGCCCCGCGATCCGCCTTCGCCAGCGCGGACGCCAGCGCCACGGCCAGCCGCGAGCTCCAACGCTGCAGCCAGCCGCGAGCGCCAGCGCCTGCGCGGACCGCCAGCGCCACTGCCAGCAGCTGCGACGGCCGCCAGCGCTAGCGCCAACGCGACCGCCAGCGCCGGCAGTGGGTGATTCCGCCCTTCCCTTCCGTCGTGGGGGGGGGGGTTGGGGGGAGGGGGCGGGTGTGAGGAGCCTGCCGCTCCTCCCTCCCTTCCCTCTTCCTCTCTCCCTGCAGCAATTGTTGCTGAGGGGAGGGGGGGGGGAGAGAGGGTAAGGGGGGATAAAGGAGGGTATGAGAGAGAGTGGCAGAAGCAGCAGCCCTGCATTTGCAACTGCCACCCCCTGCTCCTGTGGCACCTCCAGCTGCAGCCCCTGTTGCCACTTAATTCGTCTCTTTCGTTTGCTGCTGTTGAGCGGCAGGTGCTGCCGTTGAGCCTGCTGTGCCGCCGCTTGTTGCCGCCGCACGCCGCTCTCCAGGCGACCTGCGCCACATGCACCTTTCTTTCGTTTCTGTATTGGCTAAGGGGTTTCTGCTGTTGTTTCTGCCACTGCTGCACTGGTTGTCATTGCTCTTGCGTGCTAATGCTTTCAGTACACTTGCGGGTTGTGATTTATGCTTTGCTATTCCTGCATGCAGTTAAGGGGGGATGTCAGAGTTATATTATTGTAACTGCATGTAGATATAGCAGTAGTGTAGTTATCACATTCTGTTTGGTGGATTACCCCCCTTTCCTATCATATTTGTACCCTTAGCTCTATAGTGAAGTCCTCTTTCATTGCCAACTCCCTCACACTCTACCTCCTAGCATGGCTCCTAAGGCTAAACCCTAGCAACATATCTTGACAAAACAGTGAACATCGGTTAGTCTTAACGTCGCTTAAGAAGATCTGTACTTTCAGGTCATAAAGCTGATCTTAAGCTCAAGACATTGAGTTACTCCAACGAAGCTTCAATGGTCGAGTTCATTTCAAATCGTCACCTAAAATGGGACCTGAGAATCAAGGCATTTTCACCAGAAGTAAAAAACTGCAAGTACAAGGAAGGTGGACCACGTAATATTTTCAGATTATCAGTTTTTGCTGCCATATATCAACAACCAGTGAAGAGGAAGAAAAGTCGGAATAAAGCGCCAGACATTAATCACGTGGTTTCACTACCTAAAGGCATGGCTGGATCTACTATTTCAAGTCATCACCCAGGATGGCATGGAGAAGAAGTTTCATGCTCTGGAGAATGTGAGAAGTATTTCTTCAAGGAACCAGAGCAACGACGTTCGACTCTCAAAGCGTCCGAAATAACTACGTTAACGACTGCTGAAGTGTTTGGAGGCGAAGAGGTTTTTCCGCTGGAAACGTTCAACCTGGAAAATTTTTCCTTGGCTCACCTGTTCAACGACGAGTACTTATTTTCTAAGGCTGTGGACGACGAAACGACATATAAATTTCGACATGAGAAAGGCTGGAAGTTACAGGAAGTGCATCTGCAACTGGTGGATAATGCTGACGGGAGTTTTATTACTGCTGGACGACATGGATTGATGCAAGATTTTCCTGAAGTTGCTGTGCTCTCTAGAGCCAGGACAGTAGAAGCTGGTCCTCATAGGCGTCGGAAAACGCCCAGAAGATTTCGTGCAATTCTCTTGTGGCAAGCTCGCCGGGAAAGACCTGCTATTGTTACCACTTTCTACCGCTTCAACGTCAAAACACGGGTTGCTGAAACCACCTCACTCAACCACTCAGTGGTGGCGACTCAATAAAGGCTGAAGAAAACCACGCGGCAAAGAAGTGTCCACAGGTTACCAGATCTGAAATGTGGCAACTCTGCAAAGAAAGCCCCAAACGGGCAAGACAAAGTTTTTAGGCATTTGACTTTTAAGACTCCATAGGAATCTGGGAGGGTACGATAGACACTAACGCTACCTATGCCCTCTAGCTCCGGTTACGACCGACGGTGTTTTGCGTTGTACGTTGTATAATGCTATTTCACCTACCAAAAAAAAAAAAAAAAAAAAAATCGAACTGAATTTGAAACGACTCGCTATTGCGTGATGGAGCCCGGAAGCAAATACTAGATGTCACTCCAGCACATCCCACTAGATGGATGCCTTAAGGGTGCATTCCTGTGGAGACACTTGTGTCTGGACCCCCGTTTTCCCGAGTCGCGCCTGTACATTTGCCAAATGTTGTGTCACAAACAACCAATGTATCGCGACTGTGAGCGACAGTTGGGCACGGCCAGGTGGTCGCTTTCTATTGGTTGCGATGTACAGGTACGGGCCCTCAGCGTTTTCCCACCGGACATCTTGGCTAAACACATCATTCAGCAGCGCAGATCGCGCTCGTGCTAGCCAGAGTAGAGGAACTTGCAATTTGGTCGAGTCGGGAGGTTTGCACCAACCCACACACACAAAAAGGCATGTACTCAACTACTATAGCAAGTACAAAAACACACGCATCAAAGACCCCAATCCACCACTCCTTCTAGCAACCATGGCACAGCCTCGCGAGGTGCCATTCCTCATGCGACCTCTGGTCGCACGGGTGACGTTCTACTACAGCATCTTCCTCGACGCCGTCGCCAATTCGGTCGCAGGTTTGTTGGAGGCGAACATCTTCACGGAAGATGAGTCCCCGGCCTCTAGCTCACACCGATCCAACCGAACAGCCGAGCGGAATAGAAGGTCAGGGCTTCGCCGGAGGAGGTACCACGTGCTGCTAGAGGACCTGGAAGGCATGGGGGAGGACGAGTTCAGAAACTTGTTCCGCATTAACCGCGCCATCCTAGATTACATTGTAGTCGGGATGGCAATCTACATGCAGCCGTACGTGGACAGATATCTCATCAGCCACGAAGTGGCATGCCTGGTCGCTATTAAATACCTGGCCACCGGCATGTCGTTCGTGGACTTGTCTTCCGTCTTCGGCCTCTCCAAGACCCTGTGCCACATGCTTGTTGACGCTCTGCTCATGCACTTCCCCTCCGTCTTCAAGCAGCAGTGGGCCCACTTCCCGACCCGTGACGACCTCGACGAGATGGCGGAGGAGTTCCGCGCCATCAAAGGAGTTCCTGCTGTAGTGGGGGCTATAGACGGCACACACGTGCACATGAAGGGGATGGAGGGGCACATGCAGGAGTACTACACGCGCAAGTCATGCTACGCCGTCCAGCTGCAGCTCACATGCGACGCCCGCGGAATCATTTGGGACTATTTGATCGGATACCCGGGCAGTGCACACGATAAGAGGGTGTTCATGAACAGCGCGTTACACGAAAGGTTGCACAAGGACGACATAGCGCCATACCAAATAGTGGGAGATGCAGCCTACCCACTCAAGGATTTCTGTCTGATCCCCCTACATGCATCCCTGTGAAAACAAAGAACGAGAATGAAATGACTATGAACGAAGTGAGTACAAATAGGAAACCCTAATTGGGTTGTACCCCCTATGGGATACCCCACTATAGCCTACAGAAACAAGTAAGCTATAAGTTCTGACACACCCCCATAGGCAAAGTGGGGGAGAACAAGGGGTCACAAGACCAGTCAAGCAAAGCAAAGCAAAGCTCAGGGTGGATCACAAAGTCACCACTCATTCCGAGCACAAGTTCAAAGGCCACAAGGCCAGTTTACATGCAAGATCATATATAGAGATATACAAGAGCAAGAGTATATATATGCGAAAGTACAAGCAAGGTCAAGAGGAGAGCAAGTGAGGCAAGACAGGCACAAGACCCAACTGCGTGCAGCAACGCTGATGATCACAAGGCGCAAGTGCCTTGGTGAAGACATCAGCAGTGTTGGCCTCAGAGGCCACGTACGCAAGTCGCAGCTGTCCACGCTGCTGTAGCTCACGAGCAAGAAAGTAGCGAAGAGCAATGTGCTTCGTTCTGTGCTCCAGTCGCTGCTCTCGACACAAGGCCAGCATGGCCTTGTTGTCTACGTACAGGACTGGAGGAGAACGAGGCTGCTCTCCAAGGTCGGTCAGCAGGTAGGTGAGCCAGCGTAACTCCTGTGCAGCCATAGCCCCAGCGTAGATCTCAGCCTCACAACTGGAGCCGAGAACAGAAGACGAGCGGGTAGCCCGCCACGAGACAGAGCCGGAACCAAGGCTGAAGGTGTAACCCTGTGACGACCGCTGCGTAGCCTGGTCGTCAGCCCAAGAAGCGTCTGCGTGCCCAGTGAGGACCACTGGACTGCGCCCTCCAAGCACTAGCCCCATGCCCGACGTACTGCACAAGTAGCGCAACACCCTCTTCGCTGCAGCCATGTGCTCTGGTCGGTGTCTCCCAGGAGCAACAAAGCGTGCGAGAATGCTAAGAGGGTATGCGAGGTCAGGTCGTGTGCAGGTCACAGGTACATGAGGCAGCCAACAAGCTCTGCAAACGGGCCACTCGACTCTACGGACTCATCCGAAGGCAGAGCTGAGAGCGAGTGGCGAGTAGGCAGAGGAGTGGCCTGAGGCGAGGAGTACGTGAAGCCGAAGCGCTGAAGGACCTGCTGCACCATGTGTGACTGAGTCAGGGTAATGGTGCGGCGTGCTTTGTCCCGGGTGATCTGCAAGCCAAGGTAGCTGCGCAGTTCACCCAGGTCAGTGCACGTGTGTCTCTTCTGCAGCTCGGACTTCACGTAGGCGAGTCCAGCAGTGTCAGCTGTGGCAAAGACCAAGTCGTCGACGTACACGAGGATGTAGAACGGCGGCAGAGAGGTGTCGGTGCGCAGAAACAGCGACGGGTCGGCAGTGGAAGGAGCAAACCCAAGTGCCGCGAGCGTAGTCCTCAGTGTGTCGTGCCACTCACGTGGCGCCTGGCGGAGACCGTAGACTGGACGCCGGAGACTCCACTGGGTACCAGGAGGGAAAGACCCAGTGAAGCCAGGTGGGCGACGCAGCCAAATCTCCTCGTGCAGGCTGCCCTGCAAGAAAGCTGTGCTGAAGTCGAGAGAGTGCAGCTCGTAGTCACGGTGAGCAGCAACGTGTAGCAGAACCCGAAGAGTGGTCATCTTCGGGGTGGGGGAGAAGGTCTGAAAGTAGTCAACCCCCTGCCGCTGACTGAAGCCACGAGCCACGTAACGCGCCTTGAAGACAGGCGGAGAACCCGGCGGCCGCTTCACCCTGAAAATCCACATGCCACTGACGATGTTCGCCCCAGGAGGGGGAACAGCGTCAACGTAGGTGCCTGTGGACTTCCAGGAAGCCATCTCTGCATCCATAGCTGCCTGCCACTGAGAGGAGTAGGGACCCTCTATCGCCTCCGCGTAAGAGCGCGGAGTCGGGATGTCTGGTGCATCCGGGTCTCCCTCAGGGGCTAGCAGTACAGACGCGAGACGAGGTGAAGCGGCGGCCTGACACTGGAACTCCTCCTGCCTGTCCTCAAGGACGTCCGTGCCAAGGGCACACTCACCCCCGACGGACGGAGGACAGGCGGACTCAGACTCAGTGACAAGACGAGCAGCGTAGTCTAGACGACAGCGCGCAGCAAAGTCGACAAGCTCAGTGACAAGGGCAGACGCAGCAGACGACCCGAAGGAGGGGTCAGTGACAGCAGTAGCCAGGAGACGCGTGACAGTAGGACTGGCAGCACGAAGAGCGTCCGACTCCGGGTCGGCAAGAGCAGGAAGAGAGGAAGCGGGAGGAGAAGGCAAAGGGGCACGCAGAGGAGCAGTGGACGGACGCAGTGACATCCGGAGCGTGCCAGGGACAGGAGGAGGACGCTGACGCGACCCGCGACCACTAGCGCGCTCAGTACGAACAGGCGACACAGGACGAGACGCAGGCTCACGACGCTCAGTAAGACCTCCAGTCGGACCAGCGTAGGGAGAAGGAGCAGGCAAAGAGGAGGCAGGCTATAGCTGTGGCTGTGACCGGACAGGCTGCGGACCCTCTAAGGGAGGAGGAGGAGGTGTAAGACCAAGAACCTGCTGCAGGAGCGGAACGAAGTACGGTCGGGGCCGCGCGGCGACGCTAGAAACAGCAGGAACAGCACCAGCAGCCCCGGCAGGAGCACCCACTCCAGCAGCACCTCCAGCAGCACCACCAGAAGCTCCAGAACCTCCAGCCGCAGCACCAGGAGCACTGTCAGTCGGGCCGCCAACGGCAGGCTCAGCGCCAACACCCTCAGCAGGACCAGCTCCAGGAGAACTCTCAGACTCAGCAGCTCCAGCACCCACAGTACGAGCGCCGGCGGGGCGCGCAGCAGCAGTGCCCTCTGCAGCCGAAGAACCACCAGCACCAGCAGCACGCCTCCAGCGCCCGGCAAACCACTCACGCAGCTCCTGTGGGGAGAGTGGCTCCCGGCGAGACGAAGCACCCCCAGGCACAGCACCTCCAGGCTCAGCACCCCTAGACACAGCACCCCCAGGCACGGCACCCCCAGGCTCAGCACCCCCAGGCCCAGCACCCCCAGACTCGGCACCTCCAGGCTCAGCACCCCCAGGCACAGCACCCCCAGGCTCAGCACCCCCAGGCTCAGCACCCCCAGACTCGGCACCTCCAGGCTCAGCACCCCCAGACTCCGCACCCCCAGGCTCAGCTCCCGCAGCAGCACCAGAGTCACCAGTGACCTCGACAGGCTCGACCGCGTCTACCTGGGACACACCTGAAGGGGCAGGACCCTGAGGGGGGAGGGGGACTACCGGGGGGGGACCTGGTACCAAGAAGAGCGGGGGTGGGGGGAGGGACGGAGTGCGGTAGGGGAAGAGGCGGTAGTAGGGTACCGACTCGTCGAACGTGACGTCCTGGGAGGACAGAACACGTCGAGAGGTGGGGTGGTAAAACTGCCACCCAGGGGCGTCGGGGGGGAACCCCAGGAAGACGCAGGGAGAAGCACGAGGGGACAGCTTGTCCGCAGACAGGTCGCGAACAAACGCCCGAGATCCCCAGACCCGGAACGCCGACGCATCGCCAACCTTCCCCGTCCACAGCAGGGCTGGGGAGGTCTCCGGTCGAGAGACCCTGGGGTGGAGGTTGATCTGGTGCGCAGCGTACCTGACCGCAAACGGCCACAGAAAATGGGGAGCAGCCGCATGCATCATGGACGTACGAGGGACGTCCATGACCATGCCAATGCGGCGCTCAGCAATCCCATTTTGCTGCGGTGAGTCCGGAAGCGTGAAGGTCTGACGGATGCCTCGCACACGACAGTAGGCACTCAGGAGGCCGGAGGAGAACTCTCCACCTCTGTCCGAGTGCAGACGCAAAACAGGGAAGTCAGAGCCAAAGCTCCTCCGAAGCTGGAGACGAGCTGCGCGGATCCAGTCGATCAGCACCTCAGTGACCTCACCCTTGCTGCGCAAGGGGAAGACTGTGGTGTAACGCGAGTAGTCGTCAACCACCAGCAGGAAGTAGCGCTCCTGACCCTGTCCACGGACGCGGGCTGGGCCCCACACGTCCATGTGAAGCGTCTGCAACGGGGCCTCTGTGGGAGGAAACTGGGAGGAGTGAGGGGCAGCACGCTGGCGCCCCTCGACACAGGGGACACAGGTGGGGCCAGGGCCCGGAGGAAGGGGAGGGAGAGACCGGGGAAGACCAGACACAAGGACTCGCGAGGCCATGCCTCTGAGCCGAAGGAGAGAGGGGTGGCCAAGGCGGTGGTGCCAGAGGAGGGTCTCGTGAGACAGACGACGACACGAGCAGGGGGCAGACTCAGGACCAGACCTGGACGCTGCAGCAAACACCTGACCAGACGAAGGGACCCTACCAGACTCAGCACCTGGAGGAGAAGCAGTGGTCAGTGTGTACAGGCTCGACCCTGGCCGACGTGTAAACGTAGCCAGGTGGCGACCTGTATCCTCCTCCGTGCAGTGGGTCACCCGCTGACGAGCAGGGGTGAACTGGTGGACACCCGCATCCTGGAGGTCAGCACCACTCACCAAGTTCGTCGAGAACGAGGGGAGGTAGAGACCAGTCAGGGTGCCAGAGGGGGCCGCCGGACACGGGAGGACAGTGGAGAAGCGAGCCAGGACAGGCCCCCCAGAGGGGTCAGCCAGGGACACTGCAACCGGCCGACTCAGCGGCGTGAGAGTGGTGCGGTCCCTAAAGAAGGAGCGAGACGCTCCAGAGTCAAGGGTGAAGGTGTGAGAGGCCGAAGCCGACACAGTACCTGAGAGGGCAGACTCACCAGCACCTGAGAGCACAGACGCACTGGCACCTAGAGCAGCAGCCTCACTAGTACCTGACGCGGCAGTACCAATGCCCGGGTCGGGCGGGAAACACCGGTAACAGTCATCCTCATCACTACCAATCGCAGCATACATAGCAGAGAGAATAGCATCAAAATCAAGATCATAAATAGCTACACCAGCCCTAGACAGCTCTCCCCAGCGGGGGATCTCAGCTGCCTCCGGAAACTGCTGACGCCAGGCGTCAGTCAGGCGGCCAAAGCAGCGGCGGGCAGTGTGGGCGCCTCCACACCTCTCCCCTGCACGGTCACCGGTGCGGAGAACGTAGGGGCAAGGACCAAGCGCACCACCACGCTGACGCTGCGA